AACGCATGTTCATCTTAGTGTCAGTTGTATTAAAAATGATTTTTTGTATGAAACTGTGTATTTTAATGATGAAATGTAGATCTTTTTTAAAGTTTAAAACCTCATTTAATGTTATGTCTTATAGGGGTTATATGGAGTACAATATTGTATAACTGTATCAATACAACTGTAAACCTAAAAAATTACAGCCAATTTTGAAAGAGAAGCATCTTAGCTCTAGAAATTGTTATTGAATATGCCAATGTTGTTGTAATGAAATGCTTCTTCTAATTATATGGTTATTAAATAATTTTTAAAAAACCTAAAACCAAACAAAAAAAACAAAACAAAAAGTATAAATAAACAATACCATAAGGAAAAATTGGGGTCAGTCCACAACGCAAACATCCTACAAGACAACTCTCTTGACGCAGGTAAACTATCAAGTGCAAGTTCATCCACTGGGGTCTAGTGAGCCTCTCTAGAGTCCTTTTAATCTAGAGATTCTAGATATAAAAATGCTGAAGAGGCCCGGCATGGTGGCACACGCCTTTAATCCTAGCACTCGGGAGGCAGAGGCAGGCAGATCTCTGTGAGTTCAAGGTCAGCCTGGTCTACACAGTGAGTTCCAGGACAGCTGGGGCTACAGGGAGACCCTGTCTCAAAAAGACCAAAAAAAAAAAAAAAAATGCTGAAGAGACATGGTAGTCAAAGGAAATGCTTGATCTTGATTTGATTCCATATAAAAAATATCCAGCTGATAAAGCCTTTGAGGAGGTAATTGGTGGAACTGGACTCTGGACTGGCCTGGACAGATGATGGTATTATAAAAAGTTGCTGTCAATCTTGGGTATGAAGATCACATTCCAGCTATGGGGAATGTGCTCATCTTTAGATATTTGATGAATACTTGGGTGAACAATGGTGATATCTAAGGAAGCTTACTTTCACAGACACACACCATATGTGTATACATGTATATGGCAAATATGTCAGCTCCTCAATCCATGAATGATTATTGTTATAATCATTTATTTATTTATTTATTTAGTACTGGCCATTAAATCCAGGCCTTTGTACATTCCAAGTACATAGTCTATCACTGAGCTACATCTTCAGCCCCTTGACACAACTGTTTTTTATTTACTTATTTTTATTTTATGTAGACCAGGCTGGCTGGCCTCAATATCACAGAGATTCTCCCATCTCTGCCTCCGGAGTGCTAGGAATAAAGGTATGTGCCACCTTGCCTGGCCGACTGTTTCTTTTTAACAATCCAACGGAGATTGTTTTAAAGGCTAAAGCTCAGTGTGGGGAGAGTTAAAGGAAAAAGAAAATCTTCTTACCCTCAAGGGGTGTCTCTCATGCCCCAATCCTGAAAGGCAACTTTCCTAGTCAGAACTTCAGATCAGTAATATTGCTTTTTAGAGTATATCTTTTTTTTTTTGTAAATTTTTTATTGAATTTTTGTGTATTTCATACAGAACATCTTAATCATCTTTTTACCCCCTTCCCCATTGGTCCTCTCCCACAGCCTCCACCACTGGTATTCATAACTTCTGTCATTTGTGTTAAGGTCTAGCATGTCAACATAATGTCCCCCAGACATCCCTCAGTGCAATTCATCCACTGAAGTCTAGTCATCCTATCTAGTGTCCTTCCCTTTAAGATCAGTTCTGGGGCTGGATAGATGGCTCAGCGGTTTAGAACACTGTTCTTGCAGAAGACCCGGGTTTGAATCCCAGCACCCACATGGTAGCTAACAACTGTCGGTAACTCCCATTCCAGGGGATCTGACATCCTCTTCTGTCCTCCGCGGGCGTTGCACGACACAGGTGCACTTACCTACGTGCAGGCATAACACTCATACACATAAGATAAAAATAACAAATAAAATATATTTTAAAATATCTTATTAATTTTTAATGAATATATTATTTTTGATAAAATATTTAAATTTTTATTTTATTTTTTATGAATATATTATTTTATAAAATATTTTAAAATTTTATTTATTATTTTTATTTTATGTGTATGTGTGTATTGTTAGTTAACATAACTGTGTTATCCTTAGGACATACTGTGAGCAGACCAAAAATGAAGATGTAAAAAGGTGTCTGTGGGCCAGTGAGATGGTTCATTAGGATAAAGGCACTTGTGCAAACCTGACAACTAGAGTTCTATCTCTGAAACCACAGTGGAAGGAGTGAACCCACTCCTGAAAGTTGTCCTCTGACCTCCACACACAATAATAATAAATTTGTTTTAAAGGGTATATGTGATGTAAAAAAGTATACATACACATGTGGATGGATAGATGTCATGTCTGTAAATAGACATATACAACACACATACTGGAAAATAATTTGAAAGATAGTCCAAAAAAATCATGAGCAATGACTCATTGGTAATTTTCATGGAGTTTTTTATTTCCTTTTTGCATGTGACTGAATGAATACACACTCCTTTTCATTCACAACAAAGGATGTTACATTATTTCAAAACAAAACAGCATCTAAAATTTCTTATTGATTATACAGCAGCGGCATGCACAGATATACATACAGGTTTGGTCTCCACAGCTCTTGGAAAGGTTGGGAGGAGGACTGACCTCACTGCTGTCTTTACCTTGCCCTCTTAAAGGAGCAGGGTTCCAAGGTGACAGAAGTTCTTGGAGGGTGGTGGAGGGATGCTGTCCATGGTGCCTCTAAGTCTGTACTCAAAACTGGACTCCAAGAAAGACCTACAATAGAAGGTGAGGAGATGGATCCAGGGGTCCAGGGATGGGAGGTGGAGGCCCTTGGCTCCTGGGAGAGGGTGGTAGTGCAGAGTTCAAAGGCTCTGGGTTTATAGCAACTCATAAAACCTCCAGGTGGAGCCTGTGGCTCAGGAAGGGGGAGGACCGGAAGAGTGTGTATGCCCACTTGATTGAGGGTCATGCTGAGTAGAAGAGACTTCTAGAGGTGTCAGGGACCCTACCTATCCCAGGGGGACCCCAAGTGTCAACCTGGCCCTTCATTCCTAAATTCTAGGCTCCTAGGACCCAGGACCCTTCCTTTCCCTCTATGCCATCCCCTAGGGTAGGAAGGAGGACAACTGAGCCCTCCTCTTGGTGGGAAGGAGGTGTCCAGGTGCCTGTGGTCCTTTCCACCTTCAGGGAGAGCCCAGGCCCTAGGCAGACATGCACCCCCATCCCTGAAGCTCTGAAGCCAAGGGCGGGGCATATTGCCTCTGGCTGTCAGGGTGTTGCTGGGCTCCAGGTTCCCAGGGACCTGGGCACCTGCTTGCTTCCCCACCCCTCACCCATTCTCTCTTTCTCTTTCTCTTTCTCTCTCTCTCTCTCTCTCTCTCTCTCTCTCTCTCTCTCTCTCGCCCTATCTTCCCTTATATGGTGAAGGCAGTTCCTAGAGAGGGGGGGTAAGGACAAAGGTCGCTCTCCTGCAGCTAGCTTGCCACAACTCCCTAAGATCTCCCAGGTGGCGGCTGCCTCTTCCAGACAGGTAAGGCAACCGGGTGGGGACACATGGGGACCACAGGTGGTGGGAGGGATGGAATCTTTGCTTCTCAATAGCAGCCTGGGCCTCCTGTAGCACTGTTGGTGCAGGCTAGGAAAAGAGGTAAGGCCCTCAGAGATTCTAGAAGGAGCAAGGAGCTGGTATGCTGTCCTGGGCCTCCAAGGGTGGAAGTTCACAGGCCCCTCACCTGTAATTCACCCTCACTCAATGTTGGGTTTCACCCATGCAGACTGCCTGGGATGGAGGTGATCCTGGGGTTCAGGATTTCTAGATTTTCTAGATTTAAAACTAGGATAGTCCTGAGCAAACAGGGACTAGCTGGTCACCTTGGCCGTATTTCTCTCTCTCTCTCTCTCTCTCTCTCTCTCTCTCTCTCTCTCTCTACATCTATTTTGCCCATTTCTTCCTTATCTGGGGCATGAGGTGCAGCCACCAGGAATTGAATGGGGGAGGAGGGAGGCAGGGGCTGGGGGCTATAGGACCTTAGGCCCCATTAGGCCTGAACATCACCCAGGCCCTAGGATTAGTCCCTCTGTTTCTCCAGCTATCATGGCCCATTCATCAGAACTGAGAGCAGAAGCAAAGCCTGCCCAGAGTTTTGGGTCCCATTCTGCCCAAGGTCATCTGCTCAGGAATTCTCCTGTCACTTGGAGACTGGGGTGTCTACTCCCAGTGGGCTCCCAGGCCTGAGAACCCCAAATGCCTCCAGACCTAAACAAGTCCTCTCCATGTCCCAGTTCAGTCTGTCAATCTGTATCACTGCTTGCTGAGCACCTACTATGACCTATGAGCTGGCAGCTACAAGTGTGGGTAGGTGCTCGGCATAATGGCTCATATGTGTAATCTGAGCCCTTGGAAGGCTGTGTCAGGAGGATTGCCCAGTGTTTAAGGCCAACTTAAGCTAGATTGTGGAGTTTGGGGACTTCAGACTTATAAACAGGCCTTTCATCGTTGTGTGGTCAGGGTTGAGAAAGGATCAGCCTAGAACACACTGGAGCACTGAGAAGGGGCTTCTTGCCCAGCCTAAGAATTCTGGGAAGGCCTTCTGGAGGAAGTGTGTCCTAATTGGGTCTGGAAGAGTGAAAATGTCAGGAAAGTAGAGCCAGAAGTGGGGGGCATAAGAAAGAGCAGACAGCCTGGCGACCAGGGCACATGGCGGGCTGTTGTTCTAGAAGGCAGAGTGCCAGCATAGAGGGCTTGGGGAGTGTGGGAGACAGACAGTTGGAACAAAGGGCAGGGGTGGGGGTCTGAGGTACTATGAAGATAGCTGACTTTTGGGTCTCAGGGTGACAGTGCTCTCCCTGGGCTAGGGTGGGGTTGCCATGGAAGGGTGGGGAGGAGTGAGTCCAGCCAGTAAGTTCAAGTTGAGAGACAAGGTACCACACATCCACAACATGGGTCTTGTTAGCACGTTGAGGAACAAGGAGCCCTAGGTCTTCCCCAGGAATTTAGGGGAGGCAGGAGAACTGTGGAGTCCAGCTGGGGTCAGGAAGAGGTGTCTATTCTGATTAATGTGGGTAGAAGAGGAGGTGCCCATGGGGTCAGACTGGCCACGTCTCAGAACTAGTCATCCCCACTTAGCCCTAAGGAGGCTGTCTCCCAGCTCTATTCAGGCTGTTGAGGTAGGGGGCTATGGGCCCCTAATCTCACTTTTCCCCAGGGAGTGACAGCAAGACTTTATCCTCTCTCTGATGCACAAGAAACATCCTTCTATCTACCAGTAATTCATTTTGCTGACAGTTTGCTCCTCTAAGGATACTGGGTGGGACTTCAGAGGCCATCTGGTAGACCTCTGCTTCCAGCTTTCCCATGAAGACTAGGGCCTACATTTTTCAGCTAGCGAGTACTGGAGAGTATCTTAGAGAAAGCTGAGGCCAGTCATTCCTTTGTACCCAAATTGGTCCTGCTGAACCAGGAGGCTTTGGGGCGGGGGGGACGGTGTCTCAGAGATCCTTTATGATGAAGAATATCTAATGGAGAAGGCCAGACCAACAGGGCCATCAGGTGGAATAGTCAGGTCCATGGTGGTTCTACAAACACAGCAAGCTGCCTAAGATGGACAGCTGGCCTGGATCACCAGGAGGTAGGCTAATCAAATTGGGCAGAACTCAATGAGAACAGCTACTCTGCAGGACTCAGAAGAGGAAGTCTCCAAGTAGTAAAGGCCAGGCCATTTATTATTTAAGATGTGACTCAAAGTCAAAGTACAAGGAGAGATTAGATGGTTAGATGGGGTTGTCAGCATGAAGCCTGCCCTGTGGGGGCACATGACCTTTCATTCATTAGTCACCAGGCCAAGGAGCAGTCACAGAGGGCAACTCCTACCCAGCTTGGGGCAGGCATGAGGTGAATGGGTGGCCTCCATCCTGGTGACGAGGACTGAGAAATGGGATAAGAGGAATCAGGCACAAGTAGTTCTCAGCTCTGGCTCGTGGCAGGATCCCCGGCAAGTTTTCAAAGTGCCCAGGCCCCATCTCTGGCAGAAAGTAAAGTTATCCAAGCCCCATGTCCCAAGCCCCATTCTGGTCTAATTAAATCAGAACCCCTGGAGATACAGATTCTAAGTGTAGAAGCACCAGTATTTTTAAAAAGCTCCCAGGTGACTCTGACCAGCAGCTGGAACAAACACGGCTACAGGTCAAAACAGAAAGAGGCAACAGTAAGGGAAAGCTTGAAAAGTGGAGCCTTCTGGCACAGTGGATGGATGGTTGTTAATTCTAATGGTAGGCTCTTTCTGCCATCCATCTATCCCTCCCTCCATCCAGTCCTCCCTCCCTCCAACCAAACCTTCCTTTCTCCCTTACTCTTTCCCTGCTTCCCTTTACCTGTTCATTTATCTAATAGAATACCAGTAGTGTGCTAGATGCTAGGGATTTAATTAATTAATTTTTAAAATTACATTTATTGTGGCTGGAGAGATGGCTCAGCAGTTAAGATCACTGGCTGCTCTTGCAGAGGGCCCAGGTTCCATTCCCAGTACCCACAGGGTGGCTAACAACTGTCAGTAACTCCAGCTCCAGGGGAATCCGACGCCCTCTTCTGACCTCCATGGGAACTGCATGACACAGGTGCACTTATATGCATGCAGGCAATATACTCATACACATAAAATAAAAATAATAAATAAAATAAATTACATTTATTGATTGTGTATGTATGTGGGCATATGTGTGCCACAACACACATGTGGAGGTCAGAGGAAAACTTGCAGAAGTCTGTTCTTTCCTTTCATCATGTGGGTTCTGAACTCAGACTTAGTGGCAAGTGCTTTTACCTGCTGAGCCATCTTGCTGACCCCTAATTACTTTTTTTTAAAGAATCTCATGTAGCCTAAACTGGCCTGAAACTTGCTATGTAGTCAAGGATGACTTTGAACTCCTGGTCTTCCTGCCTCTACCTGAGTGCTGTAATTATAGATATTCACTACCATGTCCAGTTTAATGATGGGGATTTAGTACTGAGCAGGCAGAAATGGTCCCTGCCCTTGTGGGAACATCTTGTTGGCAACAACCCTAATGATTGGAAGATGTTGATAGAGGTAGCTGGTGAGGAACAGGAACTTATTACATATTCTCTTCTTTTGTATTGGATGTAAAAGAACTATCACCTATCCGTCTATCAATGTCTCTATCTCTCCATGTTAGAGAGTGGTTTTATTTATTCATTTCTAATTTTTAGATTTTTTTTTTTGTCTTTTTGAGATGGTCTCCCTGTAGCCACAGAGGGCCTAGAACTCTCTACTAAGACCAGCCTGGCCTTGATTTCACAAAGAGCCACCCGCCTCTGCCTCCTGAGTGCTGAGATTAAAGGCATGCATCACAGTTTTATTCATTTATTTGCTTATTATTTTATGTGTATGAGTATATTGCCTGCATTATTTAAGTGTACTTGTGTCATGCAATGCCCTCGGAGATCAGGAAAGGGTGTCAGATTCCCTGGAACTGGAGTTATGGATGATTGTCAGCCACCATGTGGGTTCTGGGAATCTAATCCAGGTCCTCTGTAAGAACAGTCAGTGCTCTTGACCATTGAGTCACCTCTCCAGACCCTTATTTATTAATTTTTTTATGAGTGTGTTTTGCTTGCATATATGTAAGTGCACATGTGTATATAATGCCTGCAGAGTTCAGAAGAGGGCATCTGATTCCCTGGAACTGAGACTATAGAGGGTTGTTAGCTGCTATGTTGGGTCTGGGAACCGAACCCAAGTCCTCTACAAAAGCAGCTAGTGCTCTTAAGGGAGCCCAAGGTAGGAACTCAGGGCAGGAACCTGGAGGAGCTGAAGCACAGGCCATGGAGGAACACTGCTTACTGGCTTGCTCCCTTGGCCGGTGCTCAACCTACTTTCTTATATAACCAGAACAATCTTGGGGAGCGGGGGGAACCCCACAGTAGGCTGGACCCTCCCATATCACTTAACAATTGAAAAAATACCCCACATGCATGGCCACAGGCCAGTACAATGGAGGCAATTCCCAAATTGAGGCTCCCTCTACCCCGGTGTGTCAAGTTGACAACTAAAGCTATCCAGCACACCTAGGCTGACTTTCATATTAAGAGTCTCCTACCTAAGTCTGAGCCCTCCATCTCCAATGTTGGATTATAGGTGTGTGCCACCACACCCAGTTTACTTATTCATTTAGGAGCTGGGGGTGGAACTCAGGGACTTATGTATACTAAACAAGCTCTCTGCCAGGAAACTACAGCTCCAGACCCCATTTCATCCATCTTAAGGTGTTCAGTACATTAGCAACACTATGCAACTCTCACCACTCTCCAGTTCCAGCACTTTCCACATCATCCCAGTGGGCAGCTCAGCGTCCATTAGCAGCTATTCCCAGTTCCCCCTCCCCAGCCTTGGTAACCACAACCTCTGGATTTGCCTGCCTGGATAGTTCATGTAAATAGACTGATTTAATATGGGGCCTTTTGTGACTGTGTGACTGGCTTCTTTCTCTTGGCATAGGGCTTGCTTAGTCTGTGTTGGAGCATGTGTTAGTATTTCCCTTCGTTTTATGGCCTAATTGTGTTCCATTGTGTAGAAAGGGAACTTTCTCTTTTGTTTCTCCGTGGACATTTGTGGTTCTGCTTTTGACTGTTGTGAATAGAGCTGTTGGGAACTTTGAGGATAATTTTTTTCTTTCATTCCTTTTTTTTTTTCTTTTCTCTTTTCGGTGTGTGTGTGTGTGTGTGTGTGTGTGTGTGTGTGTGTGTGTGTGTGTGCAGGTGCTCATAGACCTATACATATGGGTGTAGGGCAGAGGACAACCTTAGGTGGTGTGTGTGTGTGTGTGTGTGTGTGTGTGTGCAGGTGCTCATAGACCTATACATATGGGCATAGGGCAGAGGGCAACCCCAGGTGTTGTTCCTTAGGTACCATCCACTTTTTAAAAAAATCTTAAATATTTGTTTATTTACTTATAGTGCGTGTGTTTGTGTGCATATGCCAGGTGTGCATATGTAAGTCAAAGAATAATTATGGGAGTAAGTTTTCTCCTTCTACCATGTGGGTCTCAGGGATTGAACTCAGCTCATCAGGCTAGTAAACAAGCACCTTTACACACTGAGCCATCTCACTGGCCATTTAGAGCTCACCAAGTAGATGATGGCTGGCCAGTGAGACTCAGGGACTTGCTGGTCTCTACCTCCCAGTGCTGGGATTGCAGGGCATACCATATGGGTTCTGGGGATAGAACTCAGGTCCTTATGCTTGTAAGACAAGCACTTTACCAACTGAGCTACCCAGCCCTTCTGTGATTTGGTTTTGTTGTTGTTTTTGAGGATAGGATCTCAAGTAGCCTAGGTTGGCCTGAAACTTACTATGTAGCTAAGGATGACCTTGAGCTTCTGATTCTCCTGTTTCTTCCTTCCTTCCTTTCTTCCTTCCCTCCTTCTTCCCCTCCTCCCTTCTTCCCTTCCTCCCTCCCTCTCTGTCTCTCTTTATACTTTTCATTTTAAAGACAAGATCTGGCTGGGGTGGAGAGATGGCTCATAGGTTAAGAGCACTGATTACTCTTTCAGAAAACCCAGGTTCAGTTCCCAGCAGCACCCACATGGCAGTTAACAACTGTCTATAACTCCAGTTCCAGGATTTGACACCCTCTTCTGACTTCTGCAGGCTATTCTGCCAATTTTTTTCCTTTTTCCTCCCTTCTTGGGAGACTCACACCCACACTCTCTGAGGCCCCAAGGCTCACAGACCAACATAAGGCATTTCTACTTGGGTTTTGCATGGTTTATATGACATATGGGAGGGAATGACTTACAAAGAGATGGTTTTTCATAACCCGCCATCCAACATGGCCCCACTAACTCTCCATCTGCTCACTCTCCATATGGTATCGGGCTCCACCCCTCTTCCCAGGGTGCTTCTTGTCTTGCTCCTGGTTGGCCTACTCTCCATAGGCTTGGTCTTTTCGGAAGAATGGGTAATTTGGGGTCTACACAGGCATTGCACAACATGAGTGCACTTACATACATGCAGGCAAAATAATCATACACATTAAAAAAAAAAAAAAAGACAAAGTCTCACTATTGTAACACTGGCTGGCCTGGAACTCATTATGTAGGTTAAGTTGACCTCAAAGTCACAGACATCTGCCTGCCTCTGCCTCCTGAGTACCAGAATTAAAGATCTGTGCCAACATGCCTGATTCTCTTTCTTTGAGACAGAGTCTCACTCTGTAGTCCTGATTGGCCTGGTACTACATACCTTAGAGTGGCCTTGAATGCATGGCAATCCCCTTCCCTCAACCTCCCAAGTGCTGGGATTACAGGTGTATGGCATCACACCCTACTGAAGAGCAGTTTTCTGCTGTAATACCTGTTCTCATTTCTGTTGTGTATACATTTTGGTTTTTGGTTTTTTTTTTTGAGACAGGGTCTCACAATATTGCCCTGACTGACCTAGACTGACCAAGTTGGCCTCAGACTTCAGAAATCCACCTGCTTCTGCCTCCTAAATGCTGGGATTAAAGGTGTGTACCACCATATCCAGCAGGTGTACCCCCTTTTTTTTTTTTGGTCTTTTTGAGATAGGGTCTCCCTGTAGCCCCAGACTTCACTATGTAGACCAGGCTGGCCTTGAACTCAAAGAGATCTGCCTGCCTCCACCTCCTGAGTGCTGGGATTAAAGGTGTGCACCATCATGTCTGGCTTTTGACTTTTAAAAAAATATTTTATTTTTATTTTATGTGTAAGTGATTGCTTGCATGTAGGTGGATACACTGGTGTCATGTAATGCCCTTGGAGATCAGAAGACATTGAATACCCTGGAATCATAGTTACTGACAGTTGTTAGCCACTATATGGGTACTGAGAATCGAACCCAGGTCTTCTGGAAGAGCAGCCAATGCCCTTAATCGCTAAGCCATCTCTCCAGCCCCCAGTGTACACACTTATAAGCCTTTTTTTTTCCTTTATTTTTCTTTCTCATGTTTTAGAAACCTTGTATAATTAAAAATCAACAGGGACCTGGGGATATATCCTAGTTGTTAAGAGTATTTGCCTAGCATGCATAAAATCCTGGGTTCAGTCCCTAGCACTGCATAAAACCAGGCTAGGTGTTTCATACCTATAATCCTACATAGTGAGTTTGAGGCTAACGTGGGCTACATGAGACCCTGTCTCAAAAATCTAAAGAGTCTTGAGCTAGGCATGGAAGCACATAGGATATCCTGGGCTTCATAGCAAGACCCTGTCTCAAAAACATGAGGGTGAAATGGTCCTTAAGTACCAGGCTGAGTAACAGGTAATAGGGAGTCACTGTAGGCATTTAAATGAGAAAGGGTCACCATCAGAGCCTTGTGGGAAGGCTGGAGATCGGATTTTAGTGGTCAGGACCCCCAGTGTGGAGCCATCTTTTCTTCTTCCTCCAGGCCTCAAGCCTGTGGCCTCCACGTACTGTTAGGCTGGACTAGAAGGGCAGCATCTGAGACTCAGGGCACTCCTGACTTGATGACCCTGGCTCTCACACACCTTCTCTCCTAGGCTCATCCACCATGACTTCATTGACTTCCCAAGTCAAAGGCTCTCTCAACATCACCACTCCAGGGTTGCAGATATGGAGGATGGAGGTGAGCCTTGTGGGGAGGGGAGTCCTGAGATGCAGGAGGGAGGAGAAAGCCTGGCATTGCCCTGTCACCTCCAGCTCTGCCCTGCAGTCTTTGGGGAGCTCCTAATGCTCCACCTCCTCCTCCCTTTTCTCCATGTCCTTTTCATATGTCTTTAACCTTCCTCCACTTCCTCATCTTATTGGTCTTGTCTTTTCCTCCTCTGTTTCCTTCTCTCTACTGGTTTTCCTATCTCCCTTCCTTCTTGCCTTTCATTTATGGGCCCTGATCTTTATTGTTGGTTGGTTGGTTGGTTGGTTGGTATTTTGTGGTGCTGGGGCTGGAGCCCAGGGTCTCATCCAGCAATGATTCTACTACAGAACCACACTCCCAGCCCTGCTGGACCCTGCTCCCCCAACTCCCCTCCTTCCACAAATCCCCTGGTCAGCTTCTCCACTTAGAGGTTCTGGTAGCTCCTGTGACCTCTTACTGACCTGGATCAGTTCACCCCTCCTTAGGTAAACTGGTGCTATACTGGTCCCTGGAGCCCAACTGATGGGCATAGCACACTACAGCCCAGAACATCTGGACTCAAAGGATCCTCTTGCCTCAGTCTCTCAGGTAGCTGAGGCTAGAGGTCTGCCACCATGCCTGGCCCTGTGATCTCTTTCTCTCCTCAGGCCATGCAGATGGTGCCTGTTCCTTCCAGCACCTTTGGAAGTTTCTTCGATGGTGACTGCTATGTAGTCCTGGCTGTAAGTAGGTCAGGCAGGGTTGGGTCTGAGCAGAGAGCTGGGTATCAAGGAGGAAACAGGAGGCTGGGGGTGCAGTGCTGAGAGCGGGCCTGGCATTACCCAATCAGTATTTAATAGGAGTATCTGGATGTCCAGCCTGGTGGCTCCACAGGGGCTGGAGATGTGTATAGAGTCTCTCCCAGCCCTTGAGTCATGAGCTCATTCAGCCATGGGAGACCTTTTTGATTTTTCAAAATTATATATTTTTTTATTTTGTGAGTAGGTATGTGTATATGTGGGGGCTTGTACATGACATGATGCAGGTGTGGAGGCCAGAGAACAACTAATGGGAATCAGTTCTCTTCCTCCACCATGTGGGGTCCTCAGGCCACCAGGATTGGTGGTAAGTCCCTTTACCTGCTGAGCCAACTCATCGGTCCTGCTTCTAAATTTTGAAGATATTGAACACTTTAACTACCATGAATTAAAAATAGTTGGAAAAAAATCACATCTGTACTTACTAGATACATAGATATTTTCTGGTTCCTAGTCCCTAAATAATACAGTATAGCAACTATTCCCACAGCACCTACCTTGTTTCAGGTATTTTGAGTCATGCAGAGATGATTTAAAGTCTAAAGGAGACCTGGAATGAAACAGTTTACCCTCTGAGGGGTGAACTGATTCACCCAAGTTCAGGAAGCTGAAGGGGCAGAGGCATCAGAATGTAACTCAGGTCTGCGTAATGATAAAACCATCATGTGTCTCCAGGGTATCATGGAAACTCTGACTCCATCAGTCACTTGAATGTAGCTCAGATGATAGAGTGCCAGCCTGGCATCCAGGAGGCTCTGTCTGGGTTCAGTCCCCGAGTCCTGCATAAACTGGTACACTGGCATACAGGCCTGTAATCCCAGCACTCCAGAGGTGGAAGCAGAGAGATCAGGAGTTCAATGTCATCCTCCACCCCAAAAAGTTCCTGCCCAACCTAGGCATGAGACTGTCTCAAAACAACCATTAGATCTTAGGCCAGTGAGATGGCTCAACAGGTGCTTGTTGTACAAGCCTGATGACCTGTTTGAAACCCAGAATCATGATAGAAGGAAAGAACCAATTCAGGAAAGTTGTCTTGTGACCTCACACATGGCATGTGTGTGCCTGTACTCAAACACACATATCATACACATACATTATTTTTTAAATATAAGGAAGTACTGGGCGTAGTGGCACATGCCTTTAATCCCAGCACTTGGGAGGCAGAGTCAGGCAGCTGTCTGTGAGTTTGAGGCCAGTCTAGTCTGCATAGTGAGTTCCAGTCCAGCTGGGGTCCCTGTCTCATCACACACACACACACACACACACACACACACACACACTATATATATACTGAGTGTATTGCCTGCATGTATGTGAGTGCACCCATGTCATGCAATGCCACAGAGGTCAGAAGAGGGCTTTGGATTCCCCTGGAACTGGGGTTAAGGACGGTTTGTAGCTGCCATGTAGGTGCTGGGAATTGAACCCAGGTCCTCTGCAAGAGCAGTCAGTGCTCTTAACCGCTGAGCCATCTCTCCAGCCCCAGGAGGATGGTTTAAATTGTGTGCAAATCCCACATACCATTTTATAGAAGGGACTTGAACATGGGTAGACTCTATCGTCCACTGGCTTCCTATCCTTCATGGACATATTTGTTTGCTGTGTGGTCACCTCATGGACCTCTGATGGTTCACATATATCAGCTCATACGAGTTTTTTCAAGATGAAAATGAGGTCTAGAGAGTGGAAGCCACTGACTACCCCCCATCTCAGAATCAGTGACTACTGATCCACAACTCAGGGCCGCTAATGGCAGCCCAGAATTTTTCCCTGCTCCAAGTTCACATGTCGCCTGGGTCCCTAAGTGTGTGGGAGACTGCAGAACTGGAGGGGGCACTGTAGGAGCCTAGGGTCTGAATTACATAGATGCCCCTCTCTCTAGATCCACAAGACTGGCAGCACCCTGTCCTATGACATCCACTACTGGATTGGCCAGGACTCATCCCAGGACGAGCAGGGGGCAGCTGCCATCTACACCACGCAGATGGACGACTTCCTGAAGGGCAAAGCTGTCCAACATCGGGAGGTCCAAGGCCACGAGAGCGAGACATTCCGGAGCTACTTCAAGCAGGGCCTTGTGTAGGGAGGGGTGCGCTAGACTGGGGAGGACATGGAGACTGGGCATCAGAGGTGGGGTGGGACATGGAGGCTGGGCTGAAAGACTGCGTTGAGAGAGACCCTGGCAGGTGACCTGGGCCTGCGGCTGTAAGGCCTCTGGAAGACTTGGGCTTTTGCTGTTTTTTCTCTACTTTTCTACTCCCCACCCTACTCTTGCCCTGACCTTGTCCTGGTGCTCTGAGAGTGCCTTGAGCTGACTTTCCCCTCAGGCCCTTCTAAAATTCTGTTTGTGACCTGTGAATCTCTATATCTCAGCTCTTATCTCCAAGTCCCAGAGAATTTACTGCCTGCCTGAGGCCCACAGACTGTCCTATCAAGCCCTGCCCCCTCAGGCTAACTGGCAGGTGGTGGGTCCCTCTTCTTTAAGCAGACCTTTCACAAACAGCCCAGACCTGGGGGCTTTTCTAGAAAAGCCTGAAGCTCTGGCCTCCTGGATTTCCTCATGGAAAAGCCTCCTGCTCAGGAGCTGAGTTGCTTCCGACTTGCAGGACAGAGCAGATCTCTCCAGTCAGTTCTAGTCCCACTACTCCCTTTTGCCTTACTCTCTTCTGCCCACACCACTGCAGGCCACCCTTTGGGCATTTGAGTGGCGCTTCTTCCTTCTTCCATCTCAGTGCCCTGTCCCCAAAGTCCTAGTCTTCTCCCCATTTCCTTCCCTCCAGATCACCATCTTTGTGGGCTCTTCTGCAGGGCAGGGGGCTAGTGCAAGGGGCAGGAGGACGTGCAAGGCAGGGTCAGATGCCAGAGCATGCCATAGGTCAACCAAGCCCTTGCAGAGCACTGACAGCAAGTGCTGCCTTAATGTTTAAACCCTAAGTACCTCATTCACTTCACCCTATCCCAGCTAGGGCCTCAGAGGGCTACAGGCAGCCCAGGAACTCTGCACACCTTCCTACCCAATGCCCTTGGGTCAACTCCTTTCTCTTCCCAGGATCCGGAAAGGGGGAGTAGCTTCTGGCATGAAGCATGTAGAGACCAACTCCTGCGATGTCCAGCGGCTGCTGCATGTCAAGGGCAAGAGGAACGTGGTGGCTGGAGAGGTAGGCAGGCCCTCTTGGGACACTGTCAGGGACTGAGTAGGGCTGAGGGAAGGGAAAGTGGCTGGAGGTGATGCTGATGGGTGAGCTGTGGACCCCTCTGTGCCCCTCAGGTGGAGGTGTCCTGGAAGAGTTTCAACAGAGGGGACGTCTTCCTGCTGGACCTCGGGAAACTTATCATCCAGTGGAATGGGCCAGATAGTAATCGCATGGAGAGACTTAGGGTAACCCTGATGGGGCTCCACATCCTTACTACACAGCCCTGCTCCACCTGTTTCTGTAGCCCCAGCATTCCTGCCCCCTAGTCAAACCTCTGCCATGACCATCCCCATTCCCCAAGACTCTCACTGCTTTGGACAGGACAATGTGTGAAGGTGGACATTAGTCTCCATGTACACAGAGAGGTATGCTGGTCTGTGGTGTGTGTGTGTGTGTGTGTGTGTGTGTGTGTGTGTGTGTGTGTATGTGTATGTGCATTTATGTGTGCTTATGACTAACTCCTAAAATGGATAATTCCCTCAATGTATCAGATCCCATGCCCAGTCTTGGGGAACCAGGGATGGATGAAGTGGGCAGAGCCTTGCCCTTGCTCTGGCCAAAAGCCAGCCAGTCAGGAAAGGAAGAACCAAAGGAATGATTATGGGAGGAGTGTGGCACTGGGCATGCAGGGAGGATTATGGGACCAGGTGGAGGTGAAGCAAAGGCCCTGGGGCAAGAAGGTGGCTGGTGGGGATCTACCAGTTAGCTTGGCAGGAACATGCACAGCAAGCTGCAGGTCTCACAGGCAGGATGTGTGGCCAGTAGGCTGTGAAAGAAGGTCAGCTTTTCTGCTTGGTGCACTCAGCTTTTGAAACTTACCTGATCTCTGAGTAGAAATGGGTTGGGGAGAGGAAAGGGCCTAGGCCAGCAACAGAGGTAGTAGGTGCCCAAACTCAGTCTGACAGGTGGAATCTGAACTTCCATATGTATGGGACTAGAGTGGACAGAACGAGGTGTGAGAATTACTCAAAGTGTTGTGCTTGAGAACTGTGGGGACCAGTGGAGGCCCCTTTCCTGAGATGGGCGAGGTCTCAGGGAGAAAACAGAGTACTTTTGGCTATCCTGAGATAGGGTTCCTTCTGGAAATCTGGATAAATTTGATGAAAGCTGAAAGATGGGCTGGAGACAAACACATGGGTGTTGCTATCCATATAGACTCTGGGACTACAGAGGGCCCATGAAAGGAGGAGGGCCTGGGGCTAAAAAGTCAGTGTGTATACATGTGTGTGTACATGAAAAACCTGTCCTGGAAATTGTGCCTGTGTGTGTGTGTGTGTGTGTGTGTGTGTGTGTGTGTGTGAGACTGTGCGTCTGAACCTACATGAGACTGAGCTTTGTGTGTGTGAATGGGTTTGTGCTGGTATGTATGTGCAAGTCTGTGTGTGCACTGTGTGTAAGTGTGCTTTGGGCATAGAGACTGAGTAAATATAGCTCTGTGATCTTTGGGGCTCAACTCTTGCACAAAACTTTGAAGGGAAACCACAAATTTCCAACAATGTCAAAACTAAAGGCCCAATGACACCATCCCCAAATGTCCTTACCCCTCACCTACCTATAAGAAGACCTGCCTCCCACCTGTTTCCTCACACATCTGAAAAGCTGAGTCCCTGACCCTTATAGATGCTATGGGGTGGAACTTGCCCAGCAGAGTTGAGGGTGGTGGATACTACCGTGTCTGATGCCAACTTTCATGGATCTCCTGGGACCTTCCTATAGGCCATGACTCTGGCCAAAGAGATCCGAGACCAGGAGCGGGGCGGTCGCACCCATGTGGGTGTGGTTGACGGAGAAAATGAAAAGGACTCCCCGCAGCTGATGGCAATTATGAACCACGTGCTGGGCCAGCGCAGGGAACTGAAGGCAGCAGTGCCTGACTCTGTGGTGGAACCCGCTGTCAAGGCTGCCCTCAAGCTGTACCAGTGAGTTCTGGACTGGAGTCTTCCTGGGCACTAAGGACTTTCTGAGGCAGGGTGCCCCAAGGAGACACCTCCTATTTATGCCTTGCTCTGTCCCACAGTGTGTCTGACTCAGAGGGAAAACTAGTGGTTAGGGAAGTCGCTACTCGACCACTTACACAGGACCTGCTTAGCCATGAGGTGAGAGGGTCTGGAGGACCTTACCCCTTTCCCAGACAGGGACACTTCCAGGGTGCTGGGACCTGTGTAAGGGGAAAATTGGCACAGTCCAGCCCCCGCCCCCAGCACCACAGGCTCACCTGGGTCTTTCTCTCTTGACTCCAGGACTGTTACATCTTGGACCAGGGAGGCATGAAGATCTTTGTGTGGAAGGGGAAGAATGCTAATGCCCAGGAGAGGAGTGGAGCCATGAACCAGGCCCTGGTAAGGACAGGGATCAGCAGGCAGCAACAAGGGGCTTGGACCACAGCATCAGGGAAAGCCCAGGGAAGATTCTGAGCATACAGGGCTGGAAGCTGAAGGGTCATCTCCTAGTCCCTTTCCCGGTTCTGCATTGCACGTAAGGGAGCCAACCACCACCAACCCTGGGCCTCCTCGGGATGAAGGCTGTCACCTTCCCATGCAGGAGCTTGGTTTAGAGAAGGGAAGGGCTGGTCTTTCTACAAAAGGATGGGTCAGGGCTAAGTCAGAGTTCAGGACTAAAGTCTGTTGGATTAGAAGTGAGCACTAAAATTATAATTGAGGTGTAGTCAAGATAGGGGTCAGGTTCAGCCTTGGAGTTGGGATCAGAGTTAGGTTTGGGGTCAGTATTATGTTCAGGTTTGAGACCAGAGTGAGGCTTGAAACCAGTGTTAGGTTTGAGGTGGTATCAGGTTTGACCTTGATTGGAATAGGTTAGTAAGGTTGTTTGGGATCAGCATTGGGCTTGAGGTTGTGTGTGTTCAGGTTTGGGGCCAGGTGTATCTGGTTGGAGTCAGGGCCAGGCTTTGGCTTGCAGAGGGGTGTGGAGACAAGAGGCAGGAGGAGATAGCCTCCAGTGGCCCCCCTTCTCTTCCCAGAACTTCATCAAAGCCAAGCAGTACCCACCGAGTACCCAGGTGGAGGTGCAGAATGATGGGGCCGAGTCACCCATCTTTCAGCAGCTCTTCCAGAAGTGGACAGTGCCCAACCGGACCTCTGGCCTGGGCAAAACCCACACCGTGGGCTCCGTGGGTGAGAGCCCAGTGGGGCTTCGGGGACAGCTGGCCTGCTTTCTGCCCCCCTTCCCTGATGCACCTGTTAAATGCCACAGTTTACCCTGGCTCTCAGCCTCCCTGGTGGGTGCAGGCCCCTGGGGAAAGAGAGTTGTCATCAAAATGGAGCTAGAAATGTCCTGTCTTCTATTTGGAATGTGGTTGGGCTCCCTGGGAACCAAACAACCCACTAGACTATATTTGCTGAAGGCAAGGTGTGTGCCAGACACCAGGGAGGAGAGTTCAAATGAAAGGATGGTGTAGAGCCCATCACCATGAACTCCCTGCCCAAGTGGGAGGCAAGGCCAGTGTCTGAAGTCTGAATGCTAAATAGAGCTTTGTTCTTGACCCTCTTGATCCTTGCTTGTTGCTAGTGACTTCTCTGGGAGGCACTGATGAAGCAGGTACCTTAGGGACATGGAAATGTGACTCTGTGTCATAGCTCTGCTATTCTCTGGGTGACCTTGTATAAACAGCTGCATTGTTCTGACCTCAGATTCTTCGTCTGTAAAGTGGGTCTAAGAGTGGCAGCCAGCACTTGGGGCTGTAGTAAGGACCTGGGACATCTCAGCTGGTGACAGTTGGTGTCCTGATCTCTCCAGCTAAGGTAGAGCAGGTGAAGTTTGATGCTATGTCCATGCATGTACAACCTGAACTGGCTGCCCAACAGAAGATGGTGGATGATGGGAGTGGGGAAGTGCAGGTGAGAGAGGGATGGGGCTGGGCTGGTGGGGAAGATGTGTGGAGCCCAGCCTAGACCTCACACAGGCCTGACTCTGCTCCCAGGTGTGGCGTATCGAGGACTTAGAGCTGGTACCTGTGGAGTCCAAATGGCTGGGCCACTTCTATGGAGGTGACTGCTACCTGCTGCTCTACACCTATCTCATTGGCGAGAAGCAACACTACCTGCTGTATATCTGGCAGGTAAGGCCCTGCACAGAACCACCTGGAACACAGTTGGCTCAGCTTTCCCTCCCCAATCCCTGCCATTACCTGTAGGTTGAATACTCCTGGAGATGGGGAGCTCACTCCCTCCAGAGATAGCTCTTTCTGTCTTGGGTGGCTTTGGCTCTGAGATTGCTTCCAAAGGGTGTCCCTTTCCTTTTGGTTCTGAGTCTCCCTTCCAATTCCCATTACCATCTGCATATTCCTGTCACTGGCTCTGCCTAGGGACTCTGTCAGATGCCCAAGTATGGAAATAAGTTGTGTGGTAGTTCTCTGAGGAGGGAACAGGAAGGAGCAGAGGCTGTTTGGAGTCCGGGCTGGAGTTGAAGTGAGCCAGAGCTGGGCTAGGAAAGGTTCATGTTTGGGGCTGGGGTCAGAATCACAATCTGTTGGGCCTGGGCTTTGGCTCTGTTCAGGGTGGGCTTTGTGGGTCCAACCAGGTCAGAATTGAGGATGAGGGTATACCTCTTTTGGTAGAGTGCTTTTCTAACATGCACAAAGCCCTGGGTTCAATCCCCAGCACTGCATTAAGCTGGTGTGGTAACAAACACCTGTAATCCCAGCACTCAGGTAGTAGGGGAAGAAGGATCAGCAATTCAAGGTCATCCTTAACTATATAGCAAGTTCCAGGCCAGGCTGGAATACATGAGACCCTGTCTTAAAAAATTGGGGGAGTTGGAGAGATGGCTCAGCTATTAAGAGAGCTTGCTGCTCTGCTGCTCTTTCAGAGGACCCAAGTTCAATTCCCAGCACCCACATTGGATGACTCATAACTACCTATAACTCCAGCTCCAGGGGATCTGACACTCTCTTCTGGCCGTCTCAGGCAACAGCATACATTTGGCATATACACACATAGGCATATACACATAAACATTAATTTTTTAAAAAAAATTAGAAGCTAGGGCTGGAGAGATGGCTCAGCAGTTAAGAACACTGACTGTTCTTGCAGAAGACCCGGGTTTGAATCCCAGCATCCACATGGCAGCTAACAACTGTCCGTAACTCCTGTTCCAGGGGATCCGACAACCTCTTCTGTCCTCCGCAGGCATTCCATGACAGGGGTGCACTTACCTATGCACAGGCAATACACACATACACATAAAATAAAAATAATAAAGGTCGGGTGTGGTAGCGCACACCTTTAATCCCAGCACTCAGGAGGCAGAGGCAAGTGGATCTCTGTGAGTTCAAGGCCAGCCTGATCTACCTAGTGAGTTCCAGGACAGCTGGAGCTACAGGGAGACCCTGTCTCAAAAAGACCTAAATAAATAAATAAATAAATAAATAAATAAAATATTTAAAAAATTAGAAGTTGGCATGGTGTTGCATACCTTTAATTCCAGCACCTGGGTGGTAGAGGCAGTGGATATCTGTGAGATTGAGGCCAGCTTGGTCTACATATTGAGTTCCAGGTCAGCTGGGGCTACAGGGAGACAGTCTCAAAATAAACAAACAAACAAACATACAAACAAACAATTAGGAACCCTTTTGCTTTTGAAGAGGAATGTTTGGTTTCCAGCACTCACGTGATAGCTCACATCTGTTTATAACTCCAGTTCCAGGGGATCCCATACCTTCTGTCTCTGTAGGCAAGTGGCATGCACGTGGTACACATACATACATGCAAGCAAAGCACTCATACACTTAAGATAAAAATAAATTTTTAAAAAAAATTGGGGATATAATGTAGTGGAGGCAGAGGATGGGGTCAAACTCAGGGTCCCACCCTTCCTTCCTGCTCATCCCCAGGGCAGCCAGGCCAGCCAGGATGAAATTGCAGCCTCAGCCTACCAAGCTGTCATACTGGACCAGAAATACAACGATGAACCAGTGCAGATCCGGGTCTCAATGGGCAAGGAGCCGCCTCACCTCATGTCTATCTTCAAGGGGCACATGGTGGTTTACCAGGTATGACTGCTCAACCGAGGCAGTGGGCATCCAGGAGACAGGGAAGGGATGTGGGATGGGCATGAGGTTAGGATGAAGCTCATTCGTCATTGAACAGGATCTTTTTGAGGGTCTTTCATGTGTAGATCTAGTGACAGAAACCAGCATGTTTGCTTTAGAAATATAGGGAAGGCCCGGCATGGTGATGTACACCTTTAATCTCAACAGAGGCAGAGTCAGGTGGATCTCTATGAGATCAAGGCCCCAGCCTGGTCTACATAGTGAGTTCCAGGCCAGCTGGGGCTACAAGGAGACCCTGTCTCAAGAAACAAACAAAAAATGTGAATGTAGGGAAGGAGCCCTCATTGTGTGCAAATGTTGTTGTCCAGCTTCCACATCCAACTCCTTGATCTCTGCTATGTGAAAAAGGGTTTTTTTTTCCTGGGGTGGGTATAATAGTTGCTGCACCTGGCTGATGAAATAAACTAGACATCTCCTGCTGCAGCTGTTTAAGCAATAATCTGTTTACAGTGTACCTTCTAAGTACACAGTTTTTTGTAATTCAGCAAGCCAGGCGAGACATGGCAGACCAATACTGCTTACAGCCTTACTGGCCAAGGACAATCATGCAGTTGTATCTGAGTAGTGAACTCCCGGCCTGAAGCACAGTGTGGTTAAATGCCAGAGATGAAAGTTGAGTTCAAAGGGAGGCATGAATATAGTAAACTGGGAGTAGGCGTAGAGTTCATGGTGGGAAGAAATTCTGAGAAGGTCTAGACATTTGGGGCAAAGCTAGAGAGCTTTGTAGAGGTAAAATGAGGGCTTGCGATGCAGGGGGCACAGCAAGGCCCAGGACAGTGGGGGGTGGGGGAGAAACACAAAGCTAATTTGTGTCTCCATCTTGAATCTCATCGGGCCTTTGTCAAGGCTCATCAGAAGAGTTGGGTTTTATCTGAAAACAGCGTAGTGCCACTGAAAGCTTTTGAGGAGCAGAGAGCCAAGATCGAAGCAGAAGCTTCTGGATCAGTTCCCCAACCTTCCTCCTCTCTGGGTGCTCATTATGTGATTGCATTCTCGTCACTCCTGCCCGTCTCCCTGCCTTCCCCTACACCTGCAGGGAGGCACCTCCCGAGCTAACAACACAGAGCCTGTGCCCTCCACGAGGTTGTTCCAGGTCCGGGGAACTAGTGCCAACAACACCAAGGCGTTTGAGGTCACAGCCCGGGCAACCTCCCTCAACTCCAATGATGTCTTCATCCTCAAGACCCCATCCTGCTGCTACCTATGGTGTGGGAAGGTGTGCGAGGGGCTAGAGACATCCCTTCCCCAGTGGGTCCTGGGAACTCCTCAGGCTCAGAGCAGACTGGGCAGGCTGGGAGACCCTGGGCTAACAAGGTCCAACTCATGGGTCCCCAGCTGCCTGTTCTTGTCTCTGTGTGCTATTCTCAGAGTCTCTGTCTCTGTTAGCATCTGCCTATTTTGTTCCCTTTACATTGGGCATCCCTTGCCTGCTCAGTACTGCTCTGTCTCTACTCTTTCCCCTACCCTTGCCTATCCAGGCCTCTCTCTTATTCTCCCTTCCTCTGAGCAGGGTACATCCCTCATCTCTGTTATTCTTTGGGCTGTTAAGGATGAAGGAGAAGGAAGAACAGTCCCTGAGTGGGCTGTGTGCCTGGAGTCTGGTTCAGACCCCAGAGCACTGGAAGAATGCAGCAGGAGGGTGGGGGATGGTACTGGGGGTGGTCTCCCCAGCAAGGCTCACCTTCTCATTTCCTCAGGGTTGTAGCGGGGATGAGCGGGAGATGGCTAAGATGGTTGCTGACACAATCTCACGGACGGAGAAGCAAGTGGTGGTGGAGGGGCAGGAACCAGCCAACTTCTGGATGGCCCTGGGTGGGAAGGCACCCTATGCCAACAGCAAGAGGTGATGTCCTAGCATCTCCCCCACCCCACAGCCCTCAGCAGGTGCAGTCTGGGGACTCTGTCCCAGGCTCCCTGATGAGTAAGGGATAGATTTGCCCTTGGAGCTTCTGGGCATGGGGAATATTTGTGCTGTTTACCATGGGATGCTCACCATGGGATGCTTAGGGCTGGGAGGGGGCGTTTCCCTGGAAAAAGGGGTTCACAGGAGCAGTTCAGCCTTTAGGAAGAAAGTGCTAGAGTGCAGCCCTGCCCTTAGGGTCTGACATAGGCCCTCTTTCAAGTGTTCCTTCCTAAAGAATATGCACTTTTTTTTATGACTCAGCTGAAAAGCAAAAGGGCATGTGCTGCTGTGACAGCAGGAGGGATAGAGAAGGAAGCAGGAAGAACTTTCCCTAGGGCCATGGAGGGGCCTCTGGAAGGCATGCCTCGAAAAGCAGTGGGAATTTGCCCCTTGGAGCACTGTTGGGATGGGAGCAGACTCTTCTGTCATCATAAGAGGGAGCATTTTGCGAGAGGATGGTCCTTCCTTGGAAGGGTCCTTTAGAGTTCTGTGTGGTCAAGTCCCTATCCCACACCCGTCAGCACCATCTTCTGTCCTCTCTGCAGACTACAGGAGGAAAACCAAGTCATCACCCCTCGGCTCTTTGAGTGCTCCAACCAGACTGGGCGCTTTATGGCTACTGAGATCTTTGACTTCAATCAGGATGACCTGGAGGAGGAAGATGTGTTCCTATTGGATGTCTGGGACCAGGTAGGATAGGAGACTGGGGGACCACCTTTCTTAACTTGATCCCCAGTACCAAGAGGCTCCAAAGGCTTCAGGGTAGGGAAACATCAGGGTTTGAGGCCCTCCATTCTTCCTCTTTATGAAAAAAAAGGGAAGAGAGGGATGTGCCACAAGGGGATGCTGGGCATCAGGGATAAACCTGTGGGCCAGGGGTAAGTAGTAGGCATGGAGGACTGACAGGCCATGGGCTCTCCACAGGTCTTCTTCTGGATAGGGACGCATGCCAACGAGGAGGAGAAGAAGGCTGCTGCCACCACTGTGCAGGAATACCTCAAAACCCACCCTGGCAACCGTGACCCCCAGACTCCTATCATCATAGTGAAGCAGGGACATGAGCCCCCCACTTTTACAGGCTGGTTCCTGGCTTGGGATCCCTTCAAGTGGAGTGTGAGTGGCCGTAGCCCAGCCAGTCATCATGGCTCAGCACACCTTCTTCCATGGGGCCTTTTTCAGAGTGCATCACTGAGGGAGGCCTGGCCTGACTCCCACTGGCCTTTTTCTTCCTTTGGGATTTTATAGAAATCGTTTGAGGTGCTTAAAATAAGAAGTCAGTTGCTGTAAGGTCATTAAATCCCCTGGGGAGGGAGAGGGAAGGAAGTCTAAAAAACCAGTATTGGCCAAGCATGGTGGTAAATGCTTATGATCCCAGCACTTGGGAGGCAGAGGCAGGAGAAACAGCTACATGAAAAGTTGGGGGCTAGCCTGGATTAGTTCAGACCCTGTCTTAATAAAAATCCACCAACAAAGCAAAACACCTAATGTTGGTGAGCACGGTGGATAGTGCATACTTGTGTTCCCAGCACTTGGAAATTAGGAGAATTTCAAGTTCAAGGCCAGCCCAGACTACACAACAAATTATCAAAGGCTGAGGGTCTAGCATACACAGGTCCTGGGCTTGATCCCTAGCACTGTAAAAACAAACATAGCCACAGACACAGACACAAAGATAAAGCTAACTCTACAGTGTCTTGTTTTAGTGCTATACAAAGCTGTCAGAGATGGGTTAGAATTAAAATTCAAGACTTGGTTCTTAGTCAGGCGTGGTAGTGCATGCCTTTAATCCCAGCAGAGGCAGGCAGATCTTTTGTCAAGTTCCAGGCCACCTGGGGCTACAGGGAGACTCTGTCTCAAAATACAAGGCCACTAGGCATAGGCATAGTGGCACATGCGAGTCCCAGCATTTGGGAGGCAGAGGCAGGTGGATCTCTGAGTTCAAAGCCAGCCTGGTCTACATAGTGAGTTCCAGGCTAGCTGGGGCTACAGAGAGATCCTGTCTCAAAAAAAGAAAGCTCAAGTTTTTTGTTTTTGTTTTTTTTTCCAGGAAGAAGGAAGGCTCAGGTATAGTGAAGGCTGATCTTGTGGCTCTGGGTGCTCTAAATTGGCAAAACAGATGAGTTTAGGAACAGAGAGCCTAATTTCCTCAAATATGCTTTCCTTTTTAAAAAATATTTTATGTGTATAAGTGTATTGCCTGCATGTATGTGAGTGCACCTGTGTTGTGCGATGCCGAGGGGGTCAGAAGAGGGCTTTGGATTCCCCTGGAACTGGAGTTAAGGTTCATAGCTGCCATGTGGGTGCTGGGAATCGAACCAGGGTTCTCTGCAAGAGCAGTCAGTGCTCTTAATGGCTGAGCCATCTGTCCAGCCCCTTCCTTCTTTTCTTTTGACTCTAGTTGATAGGCTGCTTCATCTTTAGGATGGATTCAGCAATTTTTTTTTTTATTCTTATGTGTACATGGCATGCATATGGAGAGCAGAGGTTGATGTTGGGTGTTTTCCTTGAACACTCTCCGTTTTATTTACTGAGGCAGGGTCTCTTACTGAACACAGAACTCAGACTCATCTAGTCTTCCTAGCCAGCTTGCCTCTGGGATCCTGTCTCTGTCTCCTTCGAGGCTGGATTACAGTCAGGCTGTCACACCTGCCCAGCTTTTTATGTGGGAGTTGGTGAACTGAATTCTAGTCCTCATGCTTGGGAGGCAAGCATCTTATTTACTGAACCATCTCTCAGGATTAAGCAAATCTTAAGCAGCAATGTGGATGCTAGACGTCACAGTTACTTCATTCCCCCAACTCAGTCCAGACAGGCCCATCCCTCACAAGTCTGTACTTCTCTCTCAGCCTCATTCATTCAGTTATCCATCCATTCATTTATTCAGCACAATTCCCTGAGGGAGCTCTGATGTGTCATGCTGAGTGCCAAGCTTGGGGGCTATGGAGAAGGCTCCTCAAGCTTCAGCTCCCTTCTTTGTTCTGTGCTGGGGCTCCTCCCAAGTGGCCCAGGACCACTGAACTTCCCAAAGCCCACCTCGCATAGGCAGGCTGTCAGCAATGCCTGTTTAAACAGGCCTCCACAAGGAGTCAGGGAAGATGGTATTCTCCATTACCACATCCCCTGGGCAAGGACAAATAGCTTGCCCTGATCTTTTCTGAGCAGTTAGTTCCTTTGGTCTCATACTTCCCACCTGACCTCATCAGGGACCCCCTAATTCACTCGCTTACACTGAGCCTCCCCTCCCCCTTCTCCCCACCTAATTCTAGATCAGTCTTCTTTCCTTTTAAAGGAAAACAATCTTTGGGCTGCTGAGATGGGATTTGATCTGTTATTTATTTTATTCACAGACTGTCAAATCCTATGATGATCTGAAGTCAGAGCTTGGAAACTCTGGAGACTGGGACCAGATTGCTGCTGTGAGTATGGGGGCATAGCTGGGCTCAAGTGGCTTGGAGGCAGTCTGTTTCTGTGTCTTGTGCTTTCCCTCCTCCTCATCTCACTTCTCGTGGAAGTTCTTGCTGATTACCACCATGTCTCTGGCTGTTCTCTCTCTCCATTTCTTAGTGAAATGGGGCAGCTACTAAAATGTAGGTTTTTCTTGCACAGTGGTATATGATTGTAGTCCCTGACTCAGGAGGATTTAGGCATTTAACTAGTTAACTATGCAGAGATCCCTGGCTCAAACTACAACCCCTGCCAAATATTCAGATTTCAAGGTTCCAACTCAAAAAATATTTTGTTTTTTAGAATTTGAATCAGCCCTCTGCATTCTGCACATTTTTGTGGGGGGGGGGCACGAGTATGTGATGTACATACATGCATGTTCACGCGTGTATGAGCATGTGTGCGCATGCACATGGAGGCCAGAGGTTGAGACTGAGTGTCTTCCTTGGTCGCTCTCCACTTTATTTACTGAGGTAGGTTCTCATCTAACCCAGAGCTCCTGGATTCAGTTCGTCTAGGTAGCCAGCTTGCCCCTCGGATCCCCTCTGGAGTGTGCTGGGATTACAGGTGGCCTACCATACCCACTTTTAGGGGATTCAAGCTCTGGTTGTCATGCTTGCATGGCAATGCTCTATCCATTGACCCATCTCCTCAGTCCTGGATTCTGCCTGTTTTAAATGAAGGGCCCAGGTAATCACCTGGTGCAGTCAGTTCATGGCCTGCCTGTCTTGGTGGGGAATTGTGACATCTCTAGGTGCCATCATCCTCGGGACACTTCTTCTGGCAGAATAACTGTGACTCTTTTGGTCTGTTAGTGTTCAGAGATGTGTTTAGCCCATAGGCCTGGGATATGGGAATATGAACTCGAAGCCTTTCCTCCAAGAAGTTCCGAGGCTCACAGAAGAAAAAGACAGGGCTAGTTCTTCCAAAACACATCCAGAACCCAAGAACAAGGGGGTAATCAGCAAGGACACTCCTGCCTCTTCCAGTTGCAGGTTGAAAATGCTGTGGTGCTTAGTCAACTTTCTGGGGTTTAAAAAGAAACCCCAGTGTTTAAAAAGAAAGGCTAGATCAAGGCTGAGTGAACAGATAAGAGAAAGAGGGTCATAAATGTCTAAGGGAGATGTCAAACTCTGGGGAAAGTTGTGAAGTTTGTCATTGATCAAATAGTCATCCTGTTCCAAGTAACTTTGGCCAGAGACAGGGCAACTAAGCTATTTTACTAGCACCTGGGGACAAACTAAAATGTGCTGAGAAAGAAGTGGGAGGGGAAGGCCAGGAATGACCACTGGAAGGAGTTGTCTGGGAATGAGTGACTTTGGAGGGCATGGCAGAACAGTTATACAGAAGCTGGACTAACCAGTAGTATTCTTTTTTCCCCAGGAGGTCACAAGCCCCAAAGAGGATGTGTTCACTGCCTACACCAACCTCAGTTCTGGGCCCCTGGCCATCTTCCCCTTGGAGCAGCTGGTGAACAAGCCTGTGGAGGAGCTCCCTGAGGGTGTAGACCCCAGTAGGAAGGAGGTGAGTCAGACCCACCCAGTGGAACCATAAGGATCTGGCTAGTTCTTTTGTTGGACTTCCCAGATTGTGCCCTGCAGGGTGCTGGGGAATGCCCTGGTGAACAAAACACCTTCATACCAGTCTTCCATTCCTGAGGACAGAGCAGAGGGGCCTGATTAACTGCTCATTTCAGGGATGACAGGTGTGGCCAAGGGCAAGTGTAGGTTTCAGGAGTATTATGAGACTGTTTTAGTCAGAGAGAAAGGAATTTGTTATGGAGGCAAAGTGGGTTCTTCCCGAAGAAGAAACAAGTGTGAAACTGAGAGGTTCAGGGAGGGAGAACAGGAGCATGGACAGACACTGGGAAGGGAGGCCATGTGGGGAGAGTTAAAGTTTTCAGACCTCTCTGGCAAAGGCAAGCCACTGGCAGGAACAGGGTGATGGATCTCGCTTCAGGCAGTAGCGACAGGGCAATTTAAGAGTTGGTGAGTAAACCTCAGGAGGCGGATGTGGCCATGGGTGAGGCTGGCAATCAGCTGGCAGGCCTGCAGGCTGTTCAAGAGCAGGGCTCCTGGAAAGATACAAGCTCACTGGGATGGGCAGTCCCTGTTATCTAGCATGGGGTTAGAGTTCAGCAGGCTTGAACAGCTGAGAAGCCAGCCTGACTGGGCCTGGGAGGGCCTTGGTCTAAACACCAGAGATGAGGAAGAGGTGGGTATGGAGGGTCCAGTAACAAACTTGGTGTCCAGCAGCTGTTTCCCACCCACTGTTGCCCAACTGCTCTTTTTTTTTTGGTCATTTTGAGACAGGGTCTCCCTGTAGCCTCAGCTGGCCTGGAACTATGTAGACCAGGCTGGCCTCAATTTCGTAGAGATCCGCCTGCCTCTGCTGGGATTAAAGGCTGGCTCCAACTGTTCTTATTGACTCTCTTCCAAAGCAAGGTGCTCCACTGCCCTGCCTGGGGACAGGGAAGGCTTGTTCCCAGGAGCCAAGGAGAGAGAATGCCCAAGGGTGGGAGGCAAGTCTAATGACAGGTTAGAGGACTGGGATATCACATCCACCTGAGCTTGAAACCCATCTACATGTGTTTACCAAGAAGCTGCTCAATGTAGCTGCTCTAGGAGTCAAAGAAATGTTCCCTAGGGCAACTCCACTTCAGGAGAGTAGTATAAGACCTAAACCCACTGTACTTACCTTGGCCCTGTACCTGCTCCTCCCCACAATGGAGACTGAACCTTGATAGAGTGAGGCTCTATCATGAGGTTGTTCTGCCCCCCACCTCCTGAATTCTGAGTTACATGCATGTGCACCATGCTCAGATTTTCCCCAACCTATTTAAAGAAAAAAACAAAAAAAACTTTGAGACATAGTCTTGCTAAATTGCCTAGGTTAGGGCTGGAGAGATGGCTCAGCGGTTAAGAACAGTGGTTGTTCTTACAGAAGACCTGGGTTTGAATCCCAGCACCCACATGGCAGCTAACAACTGTCCATAACTCTAGTTCCAGGGCATCCAACAGCCTCTTCTGACCTCCACAGGCATTGCAAAACATGAGTGCAGTTACCTACATGCAGTCAATATACATATAAACATTAAATAAATAATAAATAAATAAAAAATTAAAAAAAATTGCCTAGGTTAGCTTTGAACTTATTCTAATCCAGGCAGACCTTGAACTTCAATCATCCTGAGTAGTTGAGATTGCAGGATGCACTATGACACCCAACCCTGTCTAACTGTCAATGGCCAAGGGAGCAGAGATGAGGGCTAAAAAAACACTTTTTTTTCCCCCTTTTCTTTTCAAGACAGGGTCTCCATTATAGCCCCAGCTGACCAGGAACTATGTAGACCAGGTTGGCCTTGAACTCACAGAGATCTGCCTACCTCCTGAGTGCTGGGATTAAAGGCATGTGTCACTATGCCTGGCTTAAAAATGCTATTTTAGGGTTACTTTAATTTGGGCCCTTAATTGTCTGGAGGGTGGTTAGCTCCCTTAAACAGCAAAGCCATCTTATCATCTTAGAGCTTGGGAAAAAGGCCACATGTATCAGTTCTCTCTCATGCCTTATGATAAGATACATCTGGATAGGCAGTAATTCCCAGTGGTTAATTCCAAGCCAGGAACAGAGCACAAAGGTAAAACTGTGCTAGCTAATCTTCAGTAGTACTTACAGGATGAGCTAGAATGCGTCACTTATCCAATTATTTTTCCACTCAAAATAGGCAAAACTGGACCATGCATTTGTTCTTCATCCTTCTGAGTACCTCCCCTTAGAATGTTTCCTCTCTCAGCTACTCTTCCAACTATCTCTAAGAAAAGTGTCTCCTACAAAATAACAAGCTGATATATTCAAGGAGATATAAGGCTGATAGGACTTGACCTGCTGCCTTTACCCAAAACAAACCTGAAGGCTGAGACAGATGAAGTCATCTGTATCTGAAGTTCCAGTCAACTGCAAACACAACTGTACACCTGCAGTGATACAGGAGGGAAAGATGGCAAGGGACTGTCACAATATCCCTGAAACCACTTGGGGCAGGAAGTCAGGTGGTACAACAGGGCATTCCGATGACTCTGACCTTCCTGAATGGTAGCTTCAGCATCTAAAAATAGTAAGAGTACAGGCATCTGTCCTCAGGGGGACTTACTGGCTTCAGGATTCCCCAGGATGACAGAATTCAAGGATTGTGCAGTTCTATATAAAACAGCATAGCATTTGTATATAACCCCCTCCCACCCTCCCATATACATTAAATCACCTCAATTTAAATGACCTAATACAATGTAAATGCTCTGCAAAGTTATGCTATAATTGCTTAGGGGGTAATGAGAAGAAAGTCTATGCCAGTGTTTTCTACCTGTGGTTGGTTTAATACATGTATACAGAATCCACTAATACATAGAGCTGCCGGCTCACATCACACTTAGTGTCCTTTTTTTTTTTTTAAGAGCAAGCAAGGTTTTATTGAGTAACAGCTCCCTATAGCAGAGAAGGGTTGCCTCAGTTAGTCTTTCCAAGTATTACAGCAGTGTGTTGGATTATTGTCAGCTCTATCCACTGGGACCACAGCAGGCCCCACTTCCTTTGTGGCCACCCTAATTTGGTCCAAAGCATGGTAGGGCCAGGAAGAGAACGGGCTCTGTGCACCATGGCAGCAGATACATTCAGACACTACCTGCTTTGGGGGTCAGACTTGGGTCTGCTATTTGGTAAGTAAAGATGAGCCACTCAGTTTTTTCTTTTAAATTTATAGTGTGCATGGGCACAGGCTCCAATAGCACACAGGTGGAAGTCAAAGGACAACTTGAGGGAGTTAGTTCTCTCCTCCCAAATGAGACATGGGGACAGAATTCAGGTGATCAGGGCTAAAGAGCTGACTCCGTGGTTAAGAGCACTTGCTGCTCTTTCAGAGGACCCAAGTTCAGTTCCCTGTACAACACTGAGGGTACCTGAACTCATGTACATATATACAAAGTTAAAAAAAAAATACATCTGTAAAAAAGAATTCAGGTAGTCAGGCTTGGTGCCAAGTGCCTTTACCCACTGAGCCATCCTGCAGGCTCCCATACAGTATAGCTTTTTGAATAGCTTTTCTTTTTAAAATTCTATTTATGTGTATGTGTCTGTATGCCAAGTGTGTGCAGAGGCGAGGAGGGGGTGTCAGAGCTGGAGTTTACAGGCAGTTCTACTGCTCAACATGAGTGCTGGGAAACCAAACTTAGATCCTCTGGAGTATCAGGGATCTCATTTAATTGCTGGGCCATCTCTCCAGTCCCTTGAATACCTTTTCTTGTGTAACACCACTTTCTTCATCATAAAAGCAAGTGAAAATTGACCTTGAAGAAATATCTCAGCCTGGTGTGGTGGTGCATGCCTTTAATCCCAGCCCTTAGGAGGCAGGTGGGTCCCTGTGAGCTCAAGGCCAGCCTGGTCTACATAGTAAACTCCAGGCCAGCTGGGGCTACAGGGAGATCCTGTATCAAAAAAAAAAAAAAAAAAAAAAAAAGCCGGGTGTGGTGGTGCACACCTTTAATCCTAGCACTTGGGAGGCAGAGGCAGGCGGATCTCTATGAGTTCAAGGCCAGTCTGGTCTACATAGTGAGTTCCAGGGCAGCTGGGGCTACAGGGAGACCCTGTCTCCAAAAGACCAAAAAAAAAAAAAAAAAAATCTAGAAATCTCAGCCAGGCATGGTGGCACATGCCTTTAATCCGAGCACTCAGGAGGTAGAGACAGATGGATCTTTGCAAGCTCCAGGACAGCCAGGACTACACAGTGAGACCCTGTCTCAAAACCACCACCCATCCCCTCTCTCAAAAACAAATAAAAATAAAAACCCCTCATTTTGGTTTGGGGGATGTAGCTCAGTTGACTACTTGCCTAGTAGGTACAAGGCTTTGGGCTCGAACACCAGCACTACAAAAACTAGGCATGTTAGCTAACCCTAACCCTAATCCAAGCACTTGGGAGGTAGAGTCCCTAGCCTGGGTTACCCAAGACCCTGCAAAAAAAAAAAAAAAAGTAATTTTTTTTTTTTTTTTTTTTAAATAGAGGAAAACTAAGGCCTAGAAAGAACTGAAGTTCCTTAAATAAGCCAAGTCAAATGTCTGGTTTTGTTTTTTGAGGCAGGGTCTCACTACGAAGCCTTGGCTGGTGTGGAACTCCTTATGTAGACCAGAGTGCTGGGATTAAATGTGTGTACCACCACACCCGCAAATGTCTGAATTCTTATTTCAAGACTAACATGAATTTCCTGTGGCAGAAAGGAGCTCAGCTGACTGCATTACCATTTTTTCCTGTTAGAAATTCAGGAAGCCTTGAACTCCCAATGCCACCCTATCCCCTTCCCATTCCTGGCTCTCATGGCAAGTGCTGGCTTTTGCTCATCTGTTTGACAGTATGCCACATGTGTATGGCCCATCTAAGCAAACCCTGGGTAAGACTGTGACCTTTGCCTTCTTGTCATCTCCTAGGCACACCTGTCAGATGAAGACTTCACTAAGGCCTTGGGGATGACTCCAGCTGCCTTCTCTGCCCTGCCTCGGTGGAAGCAGCAAAACCTCAAGAAAGAGAAAGGACTGTTTTGAGAGCAATGTGGCCTGGAAGCAGCCCCCAACCCTGCCAGTTGGAAATGTCCAGTTGTACCTGTGAGCAGCAGCATGCGACTGTGCCTTCTGTTTAGAACTGTCATCTACCCATTCCTCCTCCCCAAGGAGCCATGATCTGAGAGGTAGCTGAATGTTTCTAACCTGGGGTATGCCAAAACTTTTAATCATCTTTTCTAGAGCTTTCCTACCTTATAGACACTAGCCTTCCGACTGTGGGGAAGCCGGAATGTCTAGCAGTCTTCCCTCTTTCCTTTCACAGTGTTCTTCTCCTCACTGCCTTATCGGGTGCTAAGTTAAGGGAACCCTTTGTTTCAAGCTGGAGACCTAAAGGAAAGTAGGAAATGTGATGCTGTTTCACCTCTCCTTCATACTTTAATGTGACACTGGTAGTAAGGGCTTAGCTAAGGCCAATGCTGGGCTTACAAGCTGTTACCCAGAAGCCTTTGCAAAGCTTCAGAGGCTCCTCAGATGACAATAGTAACATTGGCTTGCTGCATGGAATTCCAACCATGAAACCAACAAAAGGTGATTTCTACTTTAAACAACTGGTTGTTCAGTAACCCCAAGGATGTGTCCTTTTAAGAAACAAGTCAAAATAACATAAGGTTAATAAAGGCTTTAATTTCACACACACACAAAAAAACTCTGTATAATTTAAAAAGGAAACAAGGAAAAACAAGGAAAAACCGTAAAGGATACAGAGGAACTGTTCTGTTAAAACACAGATAAAGTGCGTTCCATACAAAACAACAAGAATCAGAATCAAGTCACTCTGAACACAAAGGAAAAAAAGCCACCTCACAAATAATGTGGCCAAAGCTGCCATCAAGCCTGGGGGTGGCTCAGTCAGCAAAGTGCAGGAACCTCACTGCTATTCCCCTCGCCTAGGCATAAAGAACCGCTAGCAATAGGCTATGGAGGTTAGGAGGGGAGGAGACTCAGAGAAGGGAAGCCTGGGGACAGGTGTACACCCACTAGTGGTCTCCCTCTTTGCCCACTCTTTTAGCAACAGACCAGTTCAGCTGACTGCCCTTCTTTGTTCTGCCATTTGACTTGATGAACTCTGCTCCTGACCCTGACCCTCACTCGCTAGGTTCTCATGCCTGTGGACATACCTATAACTTGGAACCTCTGTATTTTTAAGAAAAATTCACTGTCATTAAAGTACTTATTCATAGTGGCACACTTATAATGAAAACCTCCAAACCTCAGACACATAGCACACATGGAAAGGAAAAAACAATTCACTAATTGTGTGTAAATATAACCAGAGACTGCCTCAAATCTAGTAACCAAAGCATACCATAATAATGGAGTCAATGGCTGTGGTTAAACAGAATAATCCTGTCACAAAACTTTCATAGCCTAGCCAACTATCGAGTTTTCCAATAAAATATGTATTTCTTCAGACGATAAAAATACCAACAAAATCAGAATTTTAAAGAATTGCATTAAAAGATGTTAGAGGGCAGAAACTTGTTAGTTTTTTAAAGTATTTCCAAGGGAGTGTTAGTGTAAAGCAGGGGAGGTATGGACAATGTAGCTGTTTTAGTTGTTTTTATGTAACTTGCATGTGGTGCTAGATTGTTGAATTTTCTAAAAATTTCCCTATACATACAAGTTTCACATGTACTTAGAGATCTAGTTGTTTCCCTGATTTGAAGTAAAAGCCCACCTGGGACTCAAGTGGGAAAAAAATGCACCCACTGCGCTGGTATTTCAGAGGATGAGACGAAGGGGAAGGGATACCCTGGTTCCAGTATATTCCCTCAACAGACCATAGATTTTACAAATTACCTTTTTTTCTTTGTAGCTCCAGATCATTTTACATTATCCAACTGTCTACATGTACATGTGTAATTACACAACAGTATGCAGTGTGGAAAGAGAAAGCCAGATTAGTTTGCTGAGGTTTTAACTATTTAAGGCTTTTTCAGAAAAATTTTGCAGTTCATCAAAAGATAAAGGTTCAGTTTAATATTTACATCTAGAGTCAATGGATTTGTAAGAATTACCTCATACACCTTAAAATGTAAGGTGTACACATTTACATTTGTTATGTTTGCTACTGAGCCACTTAAGCTAAGTCTGACTATAGCAAGAAGCAACCAATTTAGAATCAATATAAACAGAACAATTCATAGATTTACTTCTTATTCTATCCTGCCAGGACAAAATTTTGAGTGTATACACATACATCCCTATAAAACAAGAATCGTACTTTTCCATAGGCCTAAATTATAGTCTTGGCTACTAAAAGAATAAACAGCAGCCACATACAACTTTCCAACTCTGTATAATACAGGGCAAAAATCAACAAATTTTAATTTATTTTTTACTCCCCAAAATTTTTGGCTAAGACCAAAGATTGTATCAAGTACTAATTGCTACCATGGTCCAATTCAGCAATTTAAAGTAATGTAACCAAACATTTGCTATTTTGAATAGGAAGGTTACTTATTGTGCAGGCTGAAGGGAACTGAAGCCTCTGTCCCCATCTAATTTGTCCCTTCCTGGCCCAACATGCTAACTAACTGCTCCATTCCCAAATTCTTGGATCACAGTGTGCAACAACAAAAAGGAATATATTACTTATAAGTTAAAAATATATATAACCAGCTTAGAACAAGCAACACCTCCATCAACACAGTCTAACTGAAATCTCCACTTGGAGTCAAAGGAGTGAAGGGGAAAGCTGACAAGGCCGCAGGCTGAACAGACAGTAAAACTCAAGTCCGCAATGTGCAAGTAGTAACCTGTTTTCAACCACCAAATCCTGTTCAAGGCACAAAGGCCAAACCAAATCGGGTTATGCTGCCAAGCATACTTCTGCTCACCCAAGTCTGTAAGCTGAGAAAGCAGTACAAACAAGGCTGCTCAGGACACAATCTAGGCTCAGGCATTTCTATTTTTCTCTATGTATAAGGCAGGCCTCATTTCAAATCGTTCCTAATCACTTTTAGTAGCTCAAAGCTCCCAACTGCAGAGAGGGAAGAGAACAGTAAAGAATGTCACCAGTCCACTCATTCATGGGCTAGGCCAGGTATTTCCAAGCAAAGCAAAACAAAATGAGGCTCCCAGGAGAAATGAAACAAACATTTCAAAGTTCTGAAAACAAGTATTTTCCTCTGGTGTGAACTACTCCTGCGAATCCCACCTCTGTGCCACTCTGGAGCATTTGCTACCATAATGTATACTGGTAGACAGTAGGAGGCAAAGCATTTATCAGTAGTCACACAAAAGCACTGAGGCCATTTACAATTCAAAGTTAAGGTTTAGAAGAGGTGACTGTGGAAGAATACCCCCAGGTTCCAAGAGTCTGGCTGGAGTTCTTTGAAGACAATTTTCCAGAAAAGATGTCTCATTTTTAGCAATGAATTTAACATGTTTGCTCCCTCTGAAAACTGGATGTGGTTTCATCCCTATCTCAGAACTGAGCACATCCTCTCGTTTATAATGAAAGCAAGAAAAACACAGAAAATAGAAAATAATGACCACAGGTTTCATTTTGCTGTAGTCCATGCAATCCTAGTGACGCTTGAGCTCAAAGAATTCCTCAAACTCGTTTTTATGGTTTCATTAGCTGCTTAACCAAGCAAGTTGGCTAAGTGACTAATGCAGCACTTAATACTGCATTCCTACTCGGTCTCAACTCAGAGCACCTAAAAAATAAGATAAATATATTGTGCACCTTGGTTATTTAAGTTCTTAGAATTACCTAAACTAGTCACCTTTTAAAGCTCACCCTGCTTGTAGGGCAAAGCGAGACAATAAATGATTAAACACCCAAGGTTGTCTTACAGCTCACATAGTTAATTTTGCCCTGGTAACAGAGTGTTTAGCTTTTACCTTTAGTGGTCGAGAATTTGTGTTGTCAACAGCAGCATGCCTCTTGCTTTCTCTGCCTGAGAAGCATTCCTCCTTGCTCTATATATCCCTGGTGGGGGAGTTCCCACTGGAGCAATACTATCTTTTTACCTTTTATAATTTTGGTTATAATCCATTAGGGTCATTCCTGCTCCATTGAAAAACGATACAGAAGAAAATAAAAGATTCTATCTTTACCTTCACAATAATGTTGATGAATGATAAAATGTGTGAGGAAATCTCTTAGAGAAAAATGTGAAGTGTACAATGACCATCAAATGTGAGACTGCAGAAAATTCCAAAGCACCAACAATCCATTTTTGGGGGGGTGGGAGTGGGGGAAACTGCATGTGAACAGCAAAGGCATGACAGACTTCTAAAATTAAAAGAAAATCAAAACTCCTCAAGTCAGGTGACAGAAATGCCTCTTGGAAGGAAAACAAACTGTTATTAGTCTGACTTTCCAGTGAACTTTACTCATAAGAAATACATGGAAGGTTGGACTTGAATGAAGCCACTCAAAAAACAAAAGCCAGAAGCCAAATGATATGTGCACCTCCACACATTCCTCAGGTAAATGGGCTCTGGGATTGCTCCTGCAAACGGCTGTGGGATTAACTGTGAGTGGGCATGCTACTTCTGATGGCTCATCCTAACTCTTTAAGGCTCCATTCATTCCATATATCTGTGTGTGGGTTATTTACATATATATAGATATATATTTACAACATGTATCCCTAAGACAAAAGGAAGCGTCACTCTTGTAGGAGAAAAAGAGGCTAATCAGCTACAGATGAGACCAAAGTTTCCACAAAATAGCATGGAGCATTCCACAGAACTGAGTTTTGTCTTTTGGTTTGGCCCTGAGCTGTTTGTTGCTCCTGCATCAAGTAGAATTCCAAATTCTCTTCGGGTGGAGGAAGGTGAGATGGGCAGCAATGAGAGAGAAAAATGCAGTGCACATTGCCAACCCAGGACTTGGCTCCTTACGAGGCCTGACGGGTAGTCTTCCCCACGTCCATGTTAAAAGCCTGAGAGCTTTTTTCTGTTTCCAGCAACTCATCAAAGATCTCCCTTAAAATAAACAAAACATAGAACACAGAATTCAATAAGCAGAACCAAAGTATAGACAGCAGAAAAAGCAACAGAAGTGGACACTGATAAAGCTTACATAATTCCATTTGATACCTCAAGTTCATTAAAAAAATCATTTTACTTGTTGGAGCACCATCTTAAGCCCTGAGGGCCAATTTTTGGGAATTAGGGGAAGCACTCGGTTAGCTTTAATAAAAATTCTTCATAGTTCTAATTTTTATAAATCAAATCTCACCGATAGAAACTAGAAGACCAGAAGGGTTTATAAGACAGGCTCTACCATAAAACAAACTGTGCTAAATTCAGTACCTAGGTACCTTTGCTATGTAGACCAGGCTGGCCTCATACTCTCAAGAGATTCACTTGCTTCTACCTGGGACTACAGACATGCTCAGCCCGGTACAGTACCTACAGACTCTTGTGAGATGAGTAACTATTGTTGAGTCAGTAGAGAAAATATTCTGGACATAAGGAAATAATCAAGCGATGAGCTCTAAGTAAAGATAACAAAACTCCAATATTGTCCATTAATGAAGCGACGGGAACATTTTATTCCCAAAGGAAATATCTGAGTAATTTTTGGCCTACTTCCGATCTGGCAAAGTTTTTTACTTGTGCATATAGAAGAAGATGTAACCACTCCGATCGCGATCACTCTGCACAGCAGCCTCTTGAATTTTAGATACCTCCAGGTCATTGTAAGTAAACCACGCCTGCTTCTTAATGTCATACACATCACTAATGTAATGACCTGAAACAAATAAAATTGAGGTCTTTGAAAACATCAAGTTTTTCATAGCTATCAGAAGTTTGAGAAAAAGAAACACTACTTCATTATCCTGTCTCAGCAATATTTCTTTCCAAATTTCATTTGAAAAACATGTATACAGAATTAAAAGGGGCAGTTTGTGTGTGTGTGTTACTCCGTCACTGGGACATCTCCCTAGCCTATGCTTGCTTGAGACAGGGCCTCTTTAGGTAACCTACTACCTAAAGGATGGCCTTGAGTTCTTGATCATCCTGTCTCCACCTTACAAGTGTTGGGACTACAAGAACGTACCAAGCGCAGAGAGACATTTTTTGGGTATATTTGTTTATATGTTGTGCACATGTGTGTCGGTGATATGCACATATGGAAGTGAAAGGTTGACATCAGGTATCTTCCTTAACCACTTCCCACTTTTATTTATGTACTGAGGCATGGTGCTTCACTGAACCCAGAGCTCGCTGACTTGGCTAGTCTAGCTAGCCAGCTTTCCCTGGTGACCCACCCTTGCGTGTCCCCCCTCTCTTGTTGCCTCTTGAGGCTAGGGTTATAGGTAAGGCACTGGATTCTTACATGGGTACTAGAGGTCCAGTTCTCACACTCACAAGGCCAGTCAGTACTTTATCCACTAAGCCCTCTTCCTAGCCCTGTGACATTTTTGCTCAGGGGAAATTTAGGCCATTAACTAGTAGAAAAAAAAAATTAAAACAGTTAAATCTAATAACATAATCCAGTGTTTGATCAAAAGAAGCATTTAAAAATCTTTCTTTTTTAAGACAGGGTCTCATATACTGATTTTCCTGCTTCCACTTTTCAAATGTTGGGATTCCTGGTTTACGCAGTAGTGGGGATCAAACCTGGGGCTTCCTGCATGCTAGCCAAGCACTCTATGAACTTATATCCTTTTCGCTCCCCTACATTTTTCTTAATGCATTCAACTTACACCTAACAAAGACAGGAGAAACATAATAGTGGGCAAGGCTCCCTATGACTATGTCATTAACAAAATGCTGAAACCATGATGTCCATTTACCTGAGGAGGAAGTGCTGCCAATGTGACTGACAACACTGATGAGCCGATAGGAATGAGGGAGATTTCCTGTCTGGAAAATAGAAGTGGGCATGATTCATTTGAATAAAAGCAAAATACTGAATTTAAATTTATCAATCAAAGCTAATATAGCTAATCTTTAGGGCATAGTATATCAGATTCAATAACAAGTGTTAGCGGTTATACTGTTTACACATCTGAGGTAAGAATTCATCTCCAAGAATTATCCCAAAGAAATAATTCAAAAGATATATTGGGGGCTGGAGAGGTGGCTCTGCAGTTAATTGAGTGCTTCATGCTTTTCCACAGTACCCAAGTTTGGTTCCCAGAACCCATATTGGGAAGCTCATAACCACCTGTGACTCCAGCTCCAGGGGGATCCAATTCCCTCTTTTAACTCCCTCCCGCCATGGTACACACACTCACCCTTCAAAAGAAAAGAGTGTATCTATTAAATTATTTGCTGTAGCATTATCTATAATGAAAAAAACTAGAATATATACAATAATAGCTGATCAGTAGCAAATCAGTTCTATACAATATTATTAAGTTTACAGAAAAATTAAGTGGATCAGCAACATAGTAACTTGTTTTTCAAATCCATATCTAAAAAAAGTTATGATCAGAGTTAAAATTGGACAATAAAATGAAAAAAGAAAAAGCTGCTTTCTGTGTTACTGTTGGAATTATGGTAAATGCCTACCTTTTAAATACTGTATTAAAATATTGTTAGTAAAAACTAAGCAAAAATGAAAAGTAATATTCATGCAGTATAAGCAGCACAATAAAGTAAAATCTAGAGAAGGAATATAGCTACAAGTAAGTTAAAAAAACATGTTCGAGCTGGGCATGGTGGTCCCAGCACTCAGGAGGCAGAGGCAGGTAGATTTCGGCAAGTTCAAGGCCAGCCTGGTCTACATAGAGAGTTCCAGGCTAACTGGGACTACAGGGAGACCCTGTCTCAAAAAGGCCAAACAAACAAAAAACCCCCATGTTCATAAATTTTGGTGAAGTAATTTACTTTCACATTTATCCTAAGAAATTCTAAAATATGGGAAACACTGTTAAGTTCATACTTAGTTTCTGACTGCTTTATTTAAAAATTTTACAGTTTATTTTTATGTGTATGAGTGTTTTGCATGTATGTAAGTGTACCATGTGTGTGAAATGCCACTGAAGACCAGAAGAGGGTGTTAGATCCCCTGAAACTGAAGTTACAGATGACTGTTAGCTGCCATGTGAGTGCTGGGAACTGGACCTGGGTCCTCTGCAAGAGCAGCCAAAGCTCTTACTTGCTGAGCCATGCCTCCAGTTCTTAGAATGCAATATTTATTATAATGAAAAACTGAAGCAGTTGTGGTGGAACATGCTGATATCCCCCAGCACTCAGCAGGCTAGCCTGGACTAAACTGCAAGACTTTGTCCCAAAAAACAAAATTAAAATTAAACAGCTTAAACAAATGCTCAATGTTAGTTAAAAGAGGGATGGCTCAGTGGTTAAGAGCACTGACGGCTCTTGCAGAGGACCCGGGTTCAATTCCCAGCACCCACATGACAGCTACTAATTGTCCTTAACTCCAGTTCCAGGGGAATCCAATGCCCTCTCTGACCTCTGTGGCACTGCACAACACAGGTGCACTCACATACATGCAGGCAACACACTCATACACATAAAATAAAAATAATAAATAAAATATTAAAAAAAATTAACTACAGACTATACTGATTTGAATGAAACACTCAGGCTGGAGACATAGCTCAGTTGTTAGACTGTTTGCCTAGGACATACAAAGCCCTGGGTTTGATCTTCAGCTCTGCATAAACTGAGCATGGTGGCACATGTCTGTAATCCTAGCACTTCCGGGAGTGGGGGCGGGGTAGGGCACAGATTAGGATAAAAAATTTAAGGTTGGGGCTGGAGAGATGACTCAGCGGTTAAAAACACTGGTTGTTCTTGCAGAAGACTGGGGTTCGAATCCCAGCACCCACATGGCAGCTAACAACTGTCTGTAACTCCAGTCCCAGGGGATCCGACAGCCTCTTCTGACCTCCGTGGGCATTGAACAACACGGGTGCACTTAGCTACATGCAGGCAATACACACACACATAAAATTAAGGTCATTTTTGGCTAGAGCTAGTTCTAGGCCAGTCTGTGCTATATGAGACCCTACCTTAAAAAAAAAAAAAAAAGTAAATAATTAAAAAAATTATTTTGGAGACAGGATGTTACTATGTAGCCTAGGCTCGCCTCAAACTCTTGGTAATCCTCTTGATTCAGTCTCCCAAATGCTGAGATTATAGGCATAAGCCCCCAGGCCCAACTAAGTTTTCAACAAGCAGAATAAAAACTTTACTTACACAGTAACATCCTAAAGGATACTGAATGTGGACTGACAAAAGAATATAAGAAATGCAATAGAAGGTGCATGCTAGAGTGGGATCCCAAGCAAGGAGTGTTTGGAGGGAAAAGCAATTACTTAAGGACAGAAAGGGGAAAAGTTTATCAATGTGCTGTCATGACAGTTAGCTGAACAGTTTTTCACTAACTATAAAGATATATTAGTACTTGATGGAATTAAAGTAATTATACTGTATGTATATGTATGCCTTATATGGATACGCATTCTTATCCAACATGAACACAAGATGGTCAGGATGGATTTCTGTTTTGTTCTGAGTCTTGTATGTAAGAAATGAAGAGCAAAGGATGAGAAAACAAAGATACCCTGGTGGCCGCGGGCAGGGCAGCTGTGCTGGCACTGGAAGGAGAGTCTCTAGAGAAAGTAGGTGACCCTGACAGCCTTCAATCAGACTCAGGGGTGAAGCATTACCTCAGCATTTCTTTTTAGTTCCTCGGCTTCAGCTTCTGTATACTCCATATCAAAAACATCCTCATTTCCAGAGTCTTCATCTGAGCCCAGGGAATCCAGAAAAGAGTTGTTAAACTCTGAAGAACAGAAAGATGGTCTTGTAAAGTTCTTAGAATAGACATAAGATGACTGGGAAGATAAAACAGCTTGAGACAGAGATGGATGTGAGGTGCCCACCTACCATCCAAACACCAGGGAGACAGAAATAGAAGACAGTGAGTTTGAGGCCACTCAACTACAAAATGAGAACTTCTCTCAAATAGTGTCACAGCAATGGACAAATCCCATGTAAGCTCCAGCCAGCCAGTCAAGATCCCAACATGGACATGGGGAAGAAACCCCAACCCGATCTGAGGAACTACTGGCAACCAATGAATGCTGGAATGGGGAGACTCAATTTCCTTCAAGGGTGAGATTTCTTAGGTTGACCAGGCTCCAGTGATGAACCCACACAGAAGGGCAATTGAGGACAAAAACCTGACTCCATAGGCCATATAAATATATTAGAGCACAAAAATTTGGGGGAGGGGTTAGAAAGGGGGGGTAGTACAGATACTGGAGGGGATCTAAATATAATTTATTGTATTAAATTCATAAAAAATAAAAATAAAAAAACAAAATGAAACCAAAACAAACCAAAAACCAGCTTGAGGTACACATCATTCTAAGAAAACATGAAACAAGCTATTAACAGGGTTCCAATTCACTCACAGCTGTAAAAGAAATGGTTATTTTTCCTCCCTCTGTATACTTGTCTGTGTACATGTGTATGTAGGCCAGGGTCTCTCACTAAAACTCAGAGCTCTTGTGAGATTGTCTCTGTCTATAAAGCCCCGTGATTATATAAATATTTGCTATTTAGCTTTCATAGTACTGGAGTGTGCTATGCAGGCTCCTGGAGAAGTCTTACCCATCTGTGAATCCTATGAGCTACAACAATGAATGGTGAGGCAAGATATGTCCATGGTAGTAGTGGCATGAATGTTATGGGAGTAAGCAACTGTTTGTTTAGATTTAAGGCCCACTACACAGGAGGAAACTCATGACTAGTACTATAAATCTGGCCAAGAACCTATGGCTGGGGAGCTCATAGGCCCCATAGGTGAACCTACTAGTATTATTTTGCTAAATGGACATAGTATCAAACTGCAAGTCCTCATCAGCAAAGTTTCTCTGTACAGAAGATAATAGATAACAGAGAAACTCACAACTGGTTAGTAAGTGTGGAGTGCTCAGCCACAAATAGGACATTTACATCACACCCATTTCCCCCAACACACAGAGCCCATCAAGGAAGAGGTAGCACAAAGACTATAAAAATCAGAGATCAGGGAGCTTGAGAGATGGCTCAGCAGTTAAGAACACTGACTGTTCTTGCAGAAGACCCGGGTTTGAATCTCAGTACCCACATGGCAGCTAACAACTGTCCATAACTCCAATTCCAGGAGATCCGACAGCCTCTTCTGTCCTCTGCAGGCATTGCACGACATGGGTGCACTTACCTACATGCAGACAATACATGTATAGGCATAAAATAAAAAATAATAAAATATTTTTAAAAAATCAGGCCAGGCATGGTGGCGCATGCCTTTAATCCCAGCACTCGGGAGGCAGAGGCAAGCAGATCTCTGTGAGTTCAAGGCCAGCCTGGTCTACATAGTGAGTTCCAGGACAGCTAGGGCTACAGGGAGACCCTGTCTCAAAAAGACCAAAAAAAGAAAAAGAAAAAAAAATCAGAGATCAGGAAGGACCAGAATTAATTCCTTCTAGACATAAGAGAACCACTGTTTGCCTACACAAGATCAAGCCGGTCACTATTCTAGCATGGAGGGGGAAGCCCCAGCCCCTGAGGAGCTATGGAGAGTTGATGGCTTCTTGGGAGATGGAGAGTCAGTAGTCAGTATTTATTTATTTATTTATTATTAATTAATTAATTTATTAATTTATTTATTTTTTGGTCTTTTGAAGCAGGGTCTCTTTGTAGCCCCAGCTGGCCTAGAACTCACTATGTAGACAAGGCTGGCCTTGAACTCACAGAGATCCTCCTGCCTCTTCCTCCCAAGTGCTGGGATTACAGGCGTGCACCACCACGACTGGCGCGTCAGTATTCTTAAAGATGTGCCCCTAGTAGGTCAACTATACTTTAGCAGATGGACCTAACCCCAGGAGTATATGGGAAACACATATTAGACCCAATGGGTTATTTTTTTAAAAAAAGAGGGGCTGGAAAGATGGCTCAGCACTTGAGAGCACTGATCTCTTGCAGAGGACCCAGGGTTCAGTTCCCAGCACCCACGGTAGCTAACAACGGTCCATTAACTTCAGTTCCAGGGCATCCAAGACCCTCTTCCAGTCTCCACAGGCACTCATTCACAGGGCACCTACATACATAGAGGTAAAAAACCAAACCAAACCAAAACTGATATACCAAAAAAAAAAAAAAAAAAAAAGATAGGACCTGGTGGGGGTAGATCTGGGGGGTTGGGGAAATAATACAATAAAAATATACTGCATGCATGTATGTAATCCCTCAAAGAATTAATAAAATATTACATTGGAAAAAACAAACAAACAAACAAGTATGTACAACCACGCCTGGCTTTTTAGGTGGGTGTTGGGGATCAAACTTAGGCTCCCAAAGTATAGCAAGTGCTTTACCCACTGAGCCCTCTCTTATTTGACATACATTTCATGATAAAAGTATCTAACCTTTGTAAGAAATAAACTGAAAAAATACATAATTATACATGTCGGACATAGTCTACATAGCCTAGTCTACATAGTGAGTTTGAGGGAAGGGAAGGTTACATAGTGAGATGGTGTCTTCCAAACAAAAACAATAGAAAGTAGAAATTCAACTTTAGCTCTTAAATTTCACCAAAAATATACAAATTCAGGATACTCTTTTTTTCCCTTTAATAATGTGTTTCTAATAGAACAAGTCATCAAGAATTTCAATAAATTAATAATTTCAGGAATGTCTATCAATAATTGACTCTTTAGATTTAAAATTTAGCAAACTAAAACTACAGGAGAGGGTTATTTAAAAGACATGAACACCTACAAATGGGGAGAACTGGAAAAGAAATTACTTTCCTTAACTACATGGTGCTGGACAATGACAAAATTCCAGACCTTTATTCTCAGAAGAGGTTACAGCAGTCTCTGGATTGAGGGATGCCAGGCACAGATGAAGTCAGGAGTACCATACTGAAAATAGGTTGAGTACATGCCAATTTGTATACTAAATGATGAAAAAGACTTGCAAAACTGTGGGAGTGAAGGCTCGTGTCTGTAATTCCAGCACTAGGGAGGCTGACACAGGAGGATTTCTGTGAGCTCAGGCAGGCCTAAACTATACAGCTGAGTTCCAGACCAGCATATAGAACTGAGAGTCACAAAATTGAAGTGTGATCTACTTATGTGCTTATAGATTCCAATCATCTTTTTAGCTCCCTAGTCTTAATTATCAGCTGACAGCAAAGATTAATGAACACATAAAATAAGACTTTAATAGGAAATACACAGACCATAATAAATGCATCAGATAGAGCAATCTGAAGAAAACAATCTTCTCAGGGAAGAGAAAACATCCAACTGATCAACTATATTTAATATCTTTAAGGCTGATGTATTACTCCAATGAAACAAACAAAAAAGGCATGAAAAAGAACATACATAAAAAGTTTCTTTTGTTGATACTGTTTTTGTTTTTTGAGACAGGGTCTCCCTGTAGCTTCAGCTGGCCTGGAACTCCTATGGAGACTAGGCCGGCCTCAATCTCACAGAGATCTGCATGCCTCTGTCCCAAGTGCTGGGATTAAAGGTGTGCACCACCATTCCTGGCTAAAACACAAGAGATGATGGTAGGAATAAAAAGCTCAGTAGAAGGTTCAGAGTTAGATAAGGCTGGAGAATTTCCCAGACAGTATAGCAAAGTTACAAAAATATTGAAATCTACAAGAGGTGATGAAATCATGAGGACTAACATAAAGATCTGGATTAATAGGAGTTTCAAGACAGGAAAGACAGCAGGTCTGGTGATATACACCTGTAATTGTGATTTTTGGGAAGTGGAGGAAGAGGGTCAGGAGTTTAAGGACAGCTGTGCTAATACCCTGTCTCAGAAAAGATAAGAGAAAGAAATAGATGGGAGGAAGCTAACAAAATTTCTAAGAACTGAAGGACATAAATTTATAGATTAAGATTACTGGGGCTAGAGAGATGGCTCAGCAGTTAAGAGCATTGACTGCTCTTACAGAGGACTTGGGTTTGATTCCCAGCACCCATATGGCAGCTAACAGTCATCTGTAACTCTAGTTCCAGGGGAATCCAATGTGAAGCCTCCTTCTGACCTCCATGGGCATTGCACAACATGGGTACACTTATACACATGCAGACAATACACTCATATACATAAAATATTAAAAAAAAATATGAAGTCTGTGTGATGGTGCATGCCTTTAATCCCTATACTTGGGAGGCCAGCCTGGTCTACACAGCAAGTTCCAGGCCAGCTGGAGCTATAGGGAAACTGTCTCAAGATTACTAAGAATTGAAAAAACATGGTTGTAAAAAGCTGGGTGAAGTGGCACACACCTTTAGTCCCAGTACTTGAGAGGCAGAGCCAAGAAAATCTCTGTGAGTTTAAGGCCAGCCTGGTCTACAAAGTGAGCTCCAGGCCAGCAAAAAAAAAAAAAAAAGAGTGCCACATGAAGGCACAACAGTAGGATCCTAAACTTCAAGAAACACATGATAAAGGCTTTACACTTCTGAGATAGCAAAATAAGACATCTGTCAACACTCAGTGGCATGAAGGTAGGGAAGAGATATTTTCCTGACTACAAACCAACAATTCATTTTTTTTTTAAATTTTAAAAATATTTTATTATTTTATGTGTATATTACCTCCATGTATGTAAGTGCACCCGTATTGTAAAATATCCATGGAGGTCAGAAGAGACAGAGTGGTTGTTAGCCACCATGTGGGTGCTGGGAATCAAATCTGGATCCTCTGCAAGAGCAGCCAGTGCTCTTAACCGCTGAGCCAACTCTCCAGCAAGCAAACCAACAATTCTATATTCAGTCAAAATATCAAATAAATACCACGGAAGAATGAAATTCACAGGGGCTCCAAAGTATTTAAATTATGCCCCTCCCCCTTTCTGTCTTTTTGAGACAGGGTCTCCCTATAGCCCCAGTTGGGCTGGAACTCACTATGTAGACCAAGCTGGCCTTGAACTCACAGAATCCTCCTGTCTCTGTCTCCCAAATGCTGGGATTAAAGGCAGGCACCACCACGCCCGGCTTATACCCTCTTTCTTAAGAAAACAAATGGAGGATGTTTTCCTCCAAAATACAAATGGAACCCAGGTTTGTGGAACAAGATTCTATGTCTAGTACTTGGGAGGTAGATGTAGAAGGATCAGAAATTCAGAGTTATCCTTGTCTACCTAGTACAGAGCTACATAAGACCTTGTCTTTTTAAAAAAAAACTTTTCATTTACTTTTATTTTCTGTGTATGAGTATTATGTTTGCATGTGTGTAAGCAGTCTGTAGAGGACAGAAGAGGGTGTTGTATCCCCGGGAACTGGAGTTACATTTGTTAGTTTCCACGTGGGTGGTGGGATTCAAACCTGGGTCTTCTGTAAGAACAGCCAGGGCTCTTAAGCCATCTCTTCAGCCCCAACACCTTATCTTAAAAAAAGAAAATAAAGTGGGGGGCATATACATGAGATGGCCCAGTGGGTCAAAGCACTTGTGGCTAAGTCCAGTGACCTGAGTTCAATTCCTAGAACCTACATGGTAGAAGGACAGAACCAATTTCTATAAGCTGTCCTTTGGACTCCATGTGTGTACATACCATGGCACATACATTCACCTCTCCCAATAACAGTAACAACAATACTACTAATAGAAAGCCAGTTGTGGTAGTGCACACCTTTAATCCCAGTACTTTGGAGGTAAAGGCAGGTAGTTCTCTTTGAGTTTGAAACCGGCTGGTTGATATAGCAAGTTCCAGGCCAGCCAGGGATACACAGTGAGATCCTGTTTCAAAAACCAAAACACAGTAAAAGCCAAACAACATGGGGTAGTGTTGCAAGGAGACAGACAGAGAGAGAAAATGGTAATGTGGAGATCTCAGAGCATCTATACATGGATGTTGATGGCAGGTAGTTCAGACTATAGCACTGGAACAGGTGACTTGAGAGAGCCATCACTGCTACCAATGTAGTACATTTTGATTTTTTTTCTTGAGATAGGGTCTCATGTAGCCTAGGCTTGTCTCTAATTTGCTACGGAACTGAGGATAAGCCTGTATTTTTGATCCACCTTCCAAGTGCCAAGATCACAGGTGTAGGCCACCCATGCCTGGCTTGTCCTGAAGGCAGAATGCCTGGGGAGCTAGCGTGAATTTTTACTTGTTCCTTTGTATTAACCATGGCAGGGAAATTCTTACTCTCTCCTCACCAGAACACTCATTTCATGCTACTTAAGTGCTCTACTTCCATCTATTCATGAGGACTGGAGAAAAACCAAAGCAAGTTTAGAAACAGAAGAGGAGGAGCATGTCCAGTTTCTGTGACCACATGTCTATAGATTTCCATACAAGGTCTACACATTACTTCTGCCAAATACCATGACCACTTGTAAATCCTTGAAATTTGTTTTAGTGTGTGTGTGCATGTGTATATATGCAGGTGCGTGGAGACGAGGAGAATACACATCCCCTCTACCACTCTCTTACTCCTTCAAGATGGGGTCTTTCACTGAACCTAGAGCTAGGCTGAAACCAGCAAGTCCCAGATTCTACCTCTCCTTCACACATCCCCAGTGCTTGGATTACAGGCACATGTGTGGGCAGGTTTGGCTTTTTTATATGGGTGCTGGGTTCCTAACTTGGGTCCTCATGCTTGTACAGCAAGTGTTCTTGCCCACTGAGGTATCTCTCTAGTCCTGTGTGTGAGTTTCACGCTGCTGACTACTCATTCATGACTTGTTTACTCACTTCCTCAGAGTGAGTGCTTGGAAATCAAAATTAAACCATATCATGTTTTCCTAGAAGTTTCAGCAGTGGCAATATTAATTGTTCATTAAATAGATACTTTTTCTATTTGATTTTTCAAGATAAAAATATATAGGTAACTTCTAAGATTCTATTTCTGTACCTGGAAGGTGTTCAAATTTGTTACTATATTAAAAACATTTTTTTTTTTTTTTTGTCTTTTTGAAGACAGGGTCTCCCTGTAGCCCCAGCTGTCCTGGAACTCACTATGTAGACCAGGCTGGCCTCAAACTCACAAAGATCTGCCTGCCTCTGCCTCCCAAGTGTTGGGATTAAAGGCATGCGCTACCACGCCCCACGTAAAAACATATTTTAGGGCTGGGAATGTAGTTCAGTTAGTAGAGTGCCTGCCTAACACACAAAGACCCTGAGTCTGATCTCACCATTGCATAAACCAGGTATGCTGGTGTGTACTTGAAATCTCAGCACTCAGGAGAAAATGTGGGAGGAACAGGAGTTCAGGGCTATCCTTGACTACAAAGAAAGTTGCAAGTCCAGCATGGGCTAAATGAGACTCTGTCTAAAAAACACAGGTATTTTACATGTCCTTCTATATAGTAATATACTTTATCATTAAAAAAGTGTAATTAAAATGGTCTCCATACCTTGAAGACTTAATTCTGTAGCTCTTTTGAGGTCATCATCTTCTTTCTGCTCCCAAGCCTCCTAAAAAGATCAGAACAAAAACTGAGGTAATTCAAGAAGTACTGACTAGAACTCTTGTGAATGATGAGTTAGGAAGAGCAGTGCACAAGTGGCTCTTCTGAGCTGATGATGTTTAGAAGACACTCTCTTATGCACGATAGCAGGATGAGCACTGTCTTCACAAGCTATTTACTCACAGATTTCTACTTTTATTTTAACGAAGGAATCCAAGTCCAGAAGAGATGCTTGGTAGCAATACTAAATGAAGGCCCATGACTGCCCATTTTCTGAGATATAAAAGGTGCTCTTAGAAAAAAGTAATCAGGGCTGGAAGAGATGGCTCAGCGGTTAAGAACACTGGTTGTTCTTGTAGAAGACCCAACTTTGAAACCCAGGACCCACATGGCAGCTGACAACTGTCCGTAACTCCAGTCCCAAAGGGATCCAACAGCCTCTTCTGACCTCCGAGGGCATTGCACGACATGGGTATACTTACCTACATGCAGGCAATACATGCATACACATTAAAAAAAAAAAAAAGAAAGAAAAAAGGAAAAAAAAGTAATTAATGCTGGGCGTGGTGGTGCATGTCTTTAATCTGAGTGCTTGGGACACAGAGGTAGGTGGATCTCTGTGAGTTTGAGGCCAGCCTGGTCTACAGAGTGAGTTCCAGGTCAGCTGGGGCAACAGGGAGACCCTGTCTCAAAAAAACAAGCTGTCCCCAACACACACACACACACACACACACACACACACAGCAAAAAGTAATGAAAAAAAATTAAGGGGCTGGAGAGATGGCTCAGCGGTTGAGAGCACTGACTGCTCTTGCAGAGGACCCGCGTTCGATTCCTGTTGGGGTTCTCTGTTATGCCAGTAGAAGTCTCTTCACGTCCGGATAGCTCATGAGCTCGGAAACCATGTGCTGCAGATTCCTTCATAGCAGAGTACCTTCCTGGCATCCTCCCTGACTCTTCTTTTAAAGTGCTCGCCACAAATACATGCCCTCTGGCACAGGAGCTGCCAGGTTTTTAATCAGGTGTTGTCTGATAGCCTGATAGAAGCCCACCGCCCTATGTAAATGAGGCATCCTAAAAGTACCTATCAGCTAAGACTTCTTCTGCTGTCTCTACACTATAAATAGTCCTAGTTTTACCCCAATAAAGTTGGAGCTGGAGCAGGAGCTGAAGCTGAATCACTGAAATCTGAGCTGAGTCACTTGTCTTGAGCTGTAACACTAAATCCTGTGATCCAGTCTCCCCGGGGGGCGCTATTCCTCCATCACCGACTCACGGACACCCTGGCTTTCGCCGTTCCTCGTTCGCTTCCCGTGTGGTCCAAGTGGCCAGTGGACCTCACATCCTGAGGAAGGTATACGGGTGAAATAGGAACGGGATCGACTGCCTGTGGAGTTCACTGGCCAGGAACTCCGCAATCCTGAGGAAGGGTACAAGGGTGTAATAGAGGCGGGATCCCGACTAGATAATACTCTAGTAGCAGAGGAAGCTCTCCGCTCCAGAGAAGTGTGTAGCTATCAGCTACAGCCAGCATCAGAGAAGTCTGCGCACCTGCCATCTCCAGAGAGGCGCGGCCGGCCAGGCCCGCCAGCGGCTAGCCAGTGGGACCAGAACCACGGCGGGAGAGGGCACGCACACCTGACCCTGGGTCATATCCAGAGTGAGTGCGCCCGGGAGCCCAGGTGCGCTCCCCACATCGCTTGTGGCCAGACTTGCCAGGTGTGGCGGAGACCCCAGGGTGCCCACACACACCACGCCGAGGGTCCAGCGACCCGCCCCATAGATTTCCAGCAACCACATGGTGGCTACATTCCAATCCTTAACTCCAGTTTCAGGGGACTCTGAAGCCCTCTGAAGCCCTCTTCTGACTTCCTAGCATTGCACGACACAGGTGCACTCACATACATGCAAGCAAATACACTCATACACATAAAAAAATAATAAATTTTTTTAAAACAATTAAAAGTGTCTTTATGGTTGATTTGGTTCAGTAGTAAGCACTTGCCTAGCATGTGTGAGACCAGTGAGGCCCTGGGTTCCTGCCCTGCATCACATACATGTGTTGATGACAATGTGGTACAGGAGTATTGCTTATAAAAAGGTAGAAAAGCTGGCTGTGAAATTTTAAAGCAGCACTTAATATTGGCTGCCTGTTAGAATCACCAGAGGCTCTCCAACTTTTTTTAAAATTTATTTTTTTTATGTGTATGAATGTTTTGCCTGAGTGTAAGTGCACCTGTGTTGTGCACCCTTGAAAACCAGAAAAGAGCACTGGATCCCCTGGAACTGGAGTTACAGATGAGTGTTAGTCACCATGTGGGTGCTGGGAACTGAACCCAGGTCCTCTGCAAGAGCAGCCAGTGCTCTTAACTTCTAAGCCATCTCTCTGGCCCAAAGAGAAGCTTTAAAAAAAAAAGTATTCTTTTTATGTGTATGTGTGTATTGCCTGCATGTAGGTAAGTACACCTATGTCGTGCGATGCCCTCAGAGGACAGAAGAGGCCATTGGATCCCCTGGAACTGGAGTTACGGACAGTAGTTAGCTGCCATGTGGGTGCTGGGATTCAAACCTGGGTCTTCTGCAGGAACAGTCAATGTTCTAACTGCTGAGCCATCTCTCTAGCCCCCCAAACAGAAGCTTTTAAAGTATTTTATTATTTTTATTTTATATGTATGAGTGTGTTGCCTGCATGTATGTAAGTGCAATGCCTGCAGAAGTTGAAGAGTGTTGGATTTCCCTGGAACTGGAGTTACAGATGGTTGTAGCCACCATGTGGGTGCTGGGAATCCAAGAGACCCCTGCAAGAGCAGTCATTACTCTTGTTGAGCCATCTTTCCATCCCAGGAGAAGCTTTTTTTTGTCTTTTTGAGACAGAGTCTCCCTGTAGCCCCAGCTGGCCTGGAACTCACAAAGATCCATCTGCCTCTTCCTCCTGAGTGCTGGGATTAAAGGCGTGCACCACCACGCCCGGCTCCTTTAATCTAGATTTTAAAAAGCTTTTTCTAGCCAGGCGTGGTGGCATACACCTTTAATCCTAGCACTCAGGAGGCAGAGGCAGGCGACTCTCTGAGTTTGAGGCAAGCCTGGTCAACATTGTGAGTTCCAGGCCAGCCAAGGCTGCATAGTGAGACCCTGTCTCAAAACAAACAACAGGGAGAAAAAAAATCCAACAAAAAAATACCTGCAGATTCTACAGTCTCATTGTAAGATTTTCTTGTTGAGAACAATGTTGTCTTTCCAGCCTTACCCTTGCCACTGTTCAGCATATCTGTACCTGGGTTAGTGTATCTTCCTCATCTAAAGACAGCTGGGTACAGGGAGACCCTGTCTCAAAAAAACCAAAAAACAAACAAACAAACAAACAAAAAAAAACCCACTAGATTAAAGGAAAAGAGAAATTCAGATGTCCAGGCCATATCCTGGATTTACTGCATCAAATTTCTAAGTTGCAGAATAATACAGACATCATATTCTTTAAAGTTCCTCAAATAATTTTAAAGTGCAATTAAGACTGAGAATCAGTGGCCAACTGATTCTCTGCAAGTATTCATTTTAAGGAGTCTTTTTATCAGTGATCTCGATCTCCAGTCCCAGGAAATTTTTACTAGCATGATTTGGATTATCCTGGATTACAAAATTATGAATATATCACCTATAACTTACTGTCTGTAAGTTATGTATCTTAGATGATGCAATGGGACACTTCAACTAGCATAAAGTAGTAAAAATTGGGGGGGGGGGGGGGGGGGGGGAGGCGGAGAGATGGCTCAGCAGTTAAGCACATTTGCTGTTCCTGCAACAAGGACCTTGGTTCAGTTCCCAGCACCAAAATGGCAAATCACAACCGTCTGTAACTCCAGTTCTAAGGGATTCAGTGTCCTCTGTGGGTACTGAATATGTGTGGTGCACTTACACGAAGGCAAAACATTCATGCACATAAAATAAAAATAAATACATCCTTAAAAAAAGAAGTAAAATTGAGAACTGGGGATATAGTCTAAAGTAGCTAATGCCCTATGTTTTATTCCCAGCAGTAAAACAAACAGCAAAAGTGATGTTCAGATTTGCTATATAAAGAACTGATAAATGTTCTATTGCTAAAACTGAAGTATAAAATCATCATTTACTGGTGGTTTCTACAGCTATGCAGAATAACACTGGTTGGGGAACAACCTTTAACATTCCATATCACTTCAGCATGCAATGAGTAACTGTAGCATGGAACATGACTAGCAATACGTTTTCTTCTATTTAAAGATTTTTTTGGGGGGGTCTTTTTGTGACAGGGTTTCCCTATAGCCCCAGCTAGCCTGGAAATCACTATGTAGACCAGGCTAGCCTTGAACTCAAGAGACCTGCCTGCCACTGCCTCCTAAATGCTGGGATTAAAGGTGTGTACCACCATACCAGGCCTTATTTGGATTTTTTTTTTTCTTTTTGAGACAGGGTCTCCTTGTAGCCCCAGCTGTCCTGGAACGCATTATGTAGACCAGGCTGGCCTTGAACTCACAGAGATCCACCTGTCTCTGCCTCCCAAGTGCTGGGATTAAAGGCCTGCGCCACCATGCCTGGCTATTTGGATTTTTTTTAAAAAAGAAAATGTTGGGCTGGAGAGATGGCTCAGTGGTTAAGAGCACTGGTTGCTCTTGCAGAGGACCCAGGTTTGATTCCCAGCACCCACATGGTAGTTATCAACCAGTTCCAGGGGAAAAGTCCTCTTCTGACCTCCTTGGGCACTGCACGACACAGGTGCACTTACATACATGCAGGCAACACACTCAAACACATAAAATAAAAAAATAGATATCAAAAAAAAAAAAAACTATTAATTTACCGATTTTGAACCCAAAACAGGCCCCAACAAGTCCCCCGTATCAATAGCTGAGTATGTATAAATAATCAGGATCAATGCCTGATGTAGTAAATGCGTACCACATTCGTTTGTGATTTTCTTAGGAAAGGAGATGGAGGAGCAACAAAGTCTCACCTGCTCTTGAAGGCTCTGGGCCAGAGCTTGCTGAAGCTCTTGCTCTTCTCTCTCCTGCTCCATGTCATACTGCTGCATCCAATCAACCTCTCCCTGAGAGCCTTCTGGAGTTTTGTTTTCTTTATTCTCATCACAGTCTTTTGTTATCTCAGTAAAACTGGCAGGATCTGAGGAAGCAGAACACAACATTATTTTGGAAAATTCACTGTAAAAAACTGAAAATTTCTAGACTCTAGTAACACTTACTGTTCAGAAAGCAAATTACTATCCTGACCTCATCTAAAATGTGTTTTGTTTTTTCTCTTGGAGATAGGGTCTTAAGTACCTCATACATGCAGGCCTAGAACTTGCTATGCAGCTGAGGATGATTTTGACCTTCTGTTCCTCCTGCTTTCACCTCTGTTGGGATTACAAGCACGTACCACCATGCCTGGTTTTCAAGCATGCTAGCGGTTGAACCCAGGGCTCTGTGCACGCTAAGGCAAGCACTATACCAAATGAGCTATGTCCTTAGCCCTCACCCAAAACTTTTTGGATCCACAACTCCATCTACATCAGGGTTTTTCAGCTTTAGCACCAGTGATGATTTGACTGAGATGAGGATAAGGCTCTCTGGGGAATGGGAAGTGGGGAGAAGTCTTCTGTAAATTTTAGCAGCATCCCTGGACTCTACCAGAAATACACTAGGTCTAACTGGGTCACTTGACAGGAAATAGATTTTTTTCATCTACGAGAACGGAGTGCTAATATCAGAAGCATATAACTTCTCTAGTGACAACCATGAATGAGAGATATCACCAAACGTCCCAGGGTAGGGAGAATGCCCTTAATGCAGAAGCACTGGCCCACAGCAATGGTCTGAAACTTAAGTGATTGTCACAAGTACACCATGGTTAAGGAAGAGGGAGGACAAATATTCACATTCATAGGAGTGACATGGTCAGGTACTAGAAATATTGTCTAGAAAAAAAATTAGGAAAAAATGACTGTGTTTTTATTGAGATTTCCCCCATTTATGACACCGTATGTCACCAGAATATACGTTTTTACATTAAAAAAAAAAAAATCAAACAAGTGGTGTTTGGGAATAGAGCTCAGCACTTGGAAGCTTAGTATGTGTGAAGCCCTGGTGTTCAATACTCAGGAAAAAAACCTTGTAATATTCTAAATCAAAATAAAAGCTGGACTATCGGGATAGTACATGCTTGTAGTCGCACCATTCAGGAGGCTGAGCCTATAGCAGAGTGAGGAGGAACAGTGTACAACTGGCCTTCATTAGTACAGCTACTAAGCAATGGATGTGGCTTCTTTAGTTAGATTAAAAGCAGGAAATATATGAATAAAAAGCTTGTGGAAATAGGGGCTGGAGAGATGGCTCAGTGGTTAAGAACACTGGTTGTTCTTGCAGAAGACTGGGGTTCGAATCCCAGCACCCACATGGCAGCTAACAACTGTCTGTAACTCTAGTCCCAGGGGATCTGACAGCTTCTTCTGTCCCCAGAGGGCACTGCATGACACAGGTGCACTTACCTACATGCAGGTAATAATTGCATACACATAAAAAAAAATATTATTAAAAAAAAAAAAGCTTGTGGAAATATGTTCACCCTGCTGTCATACATAAGGTGAGAAGGAGGACTATGAGTTTGAGGTCAGCCTCTGCAACAAAGTGAGTTGTAGGCCAGTCTGTATTATGTAGAAAGACCCTATCTAAACAAACAAAACAAAAAAACAATACATGATGGTCTGGGGAGATGGCTCAATGGTTAAAGCACTTGCAGAACAAGAGGGTCCAAGTGTGGAGCCCCAAAACCACATAAATGCCAAGTGGGTGTGGTTAGCCCATGTGTAATTCCAGGCTCAGAAGGTGAAGACAGGGGAAACTGGTTGATGAGATTAGTTAGTTGTATTGGTGAGCTCTGGATACGATAGAAAGATTAAGGTAGAATTCCCATTTCAACTTTGGGTCTCCATACCCACAAGCACATGCAGGTGCTCAAGGACACATGCACATGCACCTGCATACACACATATGTGAACATACACACATGCACATATACATGAAAGAAAAAAACCTATAGAAATCTATAGAAGCATATATATTTTAAAAAGTAAGTAAATTATTAGAATAGTGGGGTTATGGAAACAGGAAATATAATAATGGCCAATATACAACTAGGGAACACAGCGACTCAAGAATAGAGAAACTACAGACGACAAGGACATGAAATACTTATTTAAAAAGTTTTTTCTCCCCAAAGTTGCTGTAGTTGTAGACTACCTATTATTGGTTTTTTAAATATTTAATTTTTAACAATTTTATTTATCTGTATGTGTGTGTCTGTGTGAGGTGTATGCCATGTGTGTACATGTGCCCACAGAAGCTAAAAGAGGATGCTGGATTCCTTAGAGCTGGAGTTACAGGTATCTGTGAGCCACCTAATTAATGTGGGTGCTAGGAACCAGACTTGGGACCTTAGAAAGAACAGTAAGCACTCTTAACTGCTAAGCCATCTCTCTGGTCCCTATTAACAGTTGTGACAACCTCAGTGTTCTCCACCACTGGGATAATCAAGACCTATAAGCTCCTTTGTTAATTTTAGGGAATTGTAGGACTAAGAAAAGAACTAAAAAGAAGAGCTGGAAGCAGGAAATAAATCTGGGAGAGACAAATGCATTAATATTAAAACCAGTGGTATTTCTAAACAGCAAAAAATTACTAAGAACAGGGGATAGATAAGGGGATACTTGCATTTAGAAGGAATAAAGTAGTGCCTCATACAAAAACTTTGTGTCTTTTTGTTTCTTGTTAAACCAAGGACACTGTAATTATTTTGCTTGCACAAATTCAAGCTGGGCAAAGAGGAGCAGTCCTTTAATACCACTACTTCAGAGGCAGACACAGGCATATCACTGAGCTTGAGACCAGTCAGATCTACATATTGAGCTTTGGGTCAGCCACGACTACATAGTGAGACACGAGGCTACACAGTGAGATGTTCTGGGTGACCCCCCCGCCCAAAAAAAGATAAAAGCTGGGTATGGTATACCTTTAATCCCAGCACTCAGGAGGCAGAGGCAGGTGGACTGCTGTGAGATGGATGAGATAGAGGACAGCTTGGGCTATAGGGAGACCCTGTCTCAAAAAAAAACAAAACAAAAAAAAATTGAAGAAGCTCTGACTGCACAAATGTAGAAATAATACTGTACTATCCTATTATTTCCAAAATCAAAACTCAAGGACTTGGGATTTTTTTAGAAGCCATGTATTAGTGCAAGGCTTTAGAACAACATGTTTGGTATAACAAGATTATCTTCATGAAACCTACCTGGCTCCACGACTGTTTTGGGTTTCTCAGTCTCCATAGCATCTAGATTTTCAGGCATTTCTTGAAGATCATCTTCTGCAAATCCAGTGTCTGGGCTGCTGGTGGGTTTATCATCATCTTCACGACAGAGCACCGGTGAAGTTTCTCTCCTACTAATCTCTAATACAGCTGCAAGCACCTCTTCTTCGCTCATTCTGTCAAATCCTGAGTTTTCTAATTCGGACTTATCAGGGCTTAATTTTGGATCCTGAAAAAGTGAATTACTTTTACAGTCTAGAAATATATCTAATATACTTTAGAATTTGTATTTTAGAGTTTATAGTGGGAACTTGAGGGCTGGAGAGATGGCTCAACAGTTAAGAGCGTCACACTGCTCTTGCAGAGGACCTGAGTTCAGTTCCCAGCACCAATGTTAGGTGGTTCATCAGTTAAGATCATGGGCTACTGTTGCAGAAGATCAGGCTGGGTTCTGAGCACCCACAGGGCAACTAATAACTGTCTGTATGTAACTCCAGTTCCAGGGGATCTGATGCCCTTTCCTGACTTCAATGGGTACTGCATGTACAGGTGCACTTACATACATGCAGACAAAACACTCATATACAGAAAACAAAACTAAAAAAAAAAAAATTAAAATTAAAGAAAAGCTGGGTGTGGTGACATGTACTATAATCCCAGGACTAGGGAGGCATAGGCAGAGGCAGGCGGATCTCTCTGTGAGACTGAGGCCATCCTGGTCTACACAGCAAGTTCCCTATCTTCTCAAAAAAAAAAAAGAGAGAATTTTTCTCTCCTTTAAAATGTTGGGCTATTTATTATATAACCTTAACTTAGAAAACCTAATTTTTAAAATAACAGCTATATAAGAATCTCTTAACTTTTTTCCTTTTTATTATTTTTTATTTATTTATTATCTTTTTGAGACAGGGTCTCCCTGTAGCCCCAGCTGACCTGGAATTTACTATGCAGACCAGGCTGGCCTCAAACTCACAAAGATCCGCCTGCCTCTGCCTCTCAAGTGCTGGGATTAAAGGCGTGTGCAGCTGAACCTGATCATGAACTTCTGATCCTCCTTCCTTTAGTTTCTAAGTGCCATCCTTAAATGTATGTGCTACCATGCCCAGTTTATGCAGTGCTGGGGACTGAACCCAAAGCTTCATGTATGCTAGGCAAGCACTATACCAACTGAACTATGACCCCCAAGCCCAGCACAGTTTTCCTTGATTACAACAGGTGCACAGTATACCCTTCATAAAAATTTGGAAAATAAACAGATAAAATCACTGAAAACAGTAAGTCATTGGGTGTGGTGATACATGCCTATAATCCCAGGTCTTAGGAGGCAGGGAAAAGAACATTGCTCTAAGTTCAAGGCCAGCCTAGGCTACACAGCAAGGCCCTGTCTCAAGCCCCAACTCCAAAACCAAAACAAAAGATTAGTCAGAAATAGTATTTCTGCTGTATCTTTTATCCAGCTATATATGAATTATACTGTAAATATTATGTTCATTACTTTGAACATCCTACTTTAAATGTTGGCTAGTTTTAAATGAGAAAAGTAAAAGCTATAGGATTATGTAAATAATAAAAAATTATTTTTTGAGTAACCATTTCATTCTGGGAGAATTTATGGTTTTCTCTTCTTAACCAAGGTGAGCAACCATGAATTTCCTCCAGCTTTAATATAAGACAGGAACAATTCAGAATACAAAGTAACTACTACAGTTCCACTATTCTGCCAAAATGGAGGCATAAAACAGGAGAGCAGAATGACATAAAGACCTGGAAAAGTTTATATTTTTGAAGTATTAAACAATTAGATTGCTTGGTTGTACTGTTGATATAAATGTTTACTATGAATTTATCCCATAAAAAATGGCTACCAAAATAAATAATTAGCTGTTTAATATGTGAAAGTAGTGCTGAAAGTTTCTGGTGTGTTTTTGTTTTTGTCCCTTTCCCTGTAGAACCCGGAGCCTCACACATGCTAGGGAAGTGCTTCACTACTGAGCCAAATTCCCAGTCATTTAATTTCTTAAAAATAGACTACTTTGGGGGCTTGAGAGATGGCTGAGGGGTTAAGAGCATTGGCAGCTCTTGCAGAGACCCAAGTTCCCAGCACCATACAAGTGCTGTAATTCAAGTTCCAGGGGGATCTAACCTCTTCTGGCCTCCTCTAGCACCAGGAATGCACATGGTGCATGTATAGACATGCAGGCAAAGCACTTAAACACATAAAATAAAAATGCATAAATCTTAAAAAAAAACAAAACAACAACAAAAAACCCTTTTTAAAGACAGTATGTAGTCTACCCTAGACTTGTACCTACAAAGCCACCATGCTCAGACAAGACTTGTTTTTTTTATTTTTATTTTTCGGTGTTTTTTGAGACCGAGTCTCCCTGCAGCCCCAGCTGGCCTGGAACTCACTATGTAGACCAGGCTGGCCTTGAACTCATCGAGATCCACCTTGCCTCTGCCTCCTGAGTGCTGGGATTAAGGGCATGTGTCACCACACTTGGCAAGACTGTTCTTTGAAGTTAGAAAAAGCACACTCTTTAAAACCAGTGTCTGGGGTTCAGTGTGGTGGCATATGTCTTTAAGTCTTGCACTTAAGAAGCAGAAGCAGGCATATCTCTGTGAATTCGAGGCCAGTCTCATCTACACAGTGAGTTCTAGATCAGTCAAGGATAGATAGTGAGATGTTGTCTCAAAAACAAGCGTCTGAAACATAGCCATTAAATTTGTGATCTCTCTTGTTTCTTAAATTTGTGGAGGCACCTGTTTGGATAGTAAGAGCTAAACAGAAGTCTGTCAGGTATTCTAATAAAAAATGACTTACCTTTTCCAAGTCTTCCTGTTGCTGTTCAATGCCTGATGGATTACAAAGTCTCTGGCTGAGGGCCACAGAGCGTTTTAGTTCATCTTCACTGTCAGAATCAAGGCATAAAGTTAAGGAGCTCTTAGATTTGAAGGTGAATTTCATGTAATTATTTTTAAAAGGCCTAATAAACATTTGTCTTTGTTATTCTTTTGGTATAAACACTAAAACAAAAAGCTTTCCTATTATGGAAAATTATTCTTATTTTTTAAAAAAATTTGAGTGTTTTGCCTGAATGAATGTAATTGCACCCGTGGAGGCCAGAAGAGTGTGTCAGATCCCATGGAATTAGAGTTACAGATAGTTGTTAGTCCCCATGTGGGTGCTGGGAATAGAACCTGGGTCCTCTGCAAGAGCAGTGGAGAACTGCTGAGCCAATTCTCCAGCCCCTATTATGGAAAATTATCTAACAAAGAAAAAAAGATGCATCAAAAAAATTATATCTATGCATTCATTATCTTTGCCCCCCCCCAAAGCCATGCTTTGAAAACTGGTAAACTTACACTACCATCTACTATCAGTCTACTTTGTGCCTTTTTTCTTCTTTTACAGTGTTCTATTGAATTCATGCAAGTATAGCAAGGAATAACAAGAAAGTGCATAAGGACTAATTTTTATTTTAAATTATGAATCCATACACTTTAAGTAACAGTAACATTCCATTTATCTAATTTTCTCTAGGTCAGACTTCTGGCAACCTTTCTACCTTCCAGTACAGGCATTCCAAATCTCATGCAGTAACAGGGGCCCTGTCTTTCCCAAGTTATGGTGTATTAAATAGTATTGCAAGTTCATAAAGAAATGAAAGCTGCAAAATGAAGCACAGAAAAGGTAAAACAAACTAAGCTAAAAGTGTAACGTGCAAAGGCAAATTCTTTTGTAATCACTAAGCTTCTTGGAACAATATCTCATTAAAACAGTACAGTTGAGAACACTTAAATTGGCAGCACTTGGGCGGCTGGGGCAAGAGGACCAAGGATTTGAGACCAATCTGGGCTATATGGCAAGAGTCTGTCTCAAGCCAAAACAAACAAAAAACCCCACACAAACAAAAAGAATCCCACAGTGCAACAAATGATATTCATCATGTAAACTCTTTCTTTTAATAGTAATGAGGGGGCTGGAGAGATGGCTTAGTGTAGTTAAGAGCACTGGGCATTTTTTTTTTTTTTTTTGCAGAAGACCTGGGTTCAAAATCTAGCACCTACAGGGCAGTTAACAACTGTCTGTAACTCCAGCTCCAGGGGATCTTGTACCCTCTTCTGGACTCCACAGGCATTGCATGACATAGGTACACTTACATACTTGTAGGTTTGACATGCATATACATTAAATAAATTTTTTTTAAAAAGCTCAAAAAAAAAAAAGAAGTATGTAATGGTCTCAAGGTGATTAAGAATATAAGGAACACATTGTTGGGACATTGCATGTAATGAATAAAGGGGAAAAAAATATAAGGAATAGGCTGGGCATGGTGTTGCACACCTTTATCTCAACACCCAGGAGGCAGAGGCAGGATGATCTCTGTGAGTTAGAGGCCAGGCAGCCTGGTTTACATTGAGTTCCAGGCCAGCTAGGGCTATAGAATGAGACCCTGTCTCAAAAAAAGAGATAGAAAACAAACAAAACAAATAAAAAACCCTGTTTGGGGGGATGAAAAGATGCTCAGTGGTTAAGAGCACTTGCTGCTCTTGCAGAGGACCTGAGTTCTGGCCCCAGCATCCATATAAGGTGACTAACTGTCTGCAACTCCAGCTCCAGGGGATCCATTACCCTCTTCTGGCCTCTGAGGGCAACTGCACACATGTCAACAAACCCATACCCATACCCATATACCTAATTAAAAAAAAACAAGAGAATAGAATAGGGGTTGGAGAGATGGCTGTGTTTAAAGAACACTGCTCTTCAGAAGACACATGTTCGGCTCCCAGCAACTACATGGTGGCTCACAATTTTTTTTAAACACTTCAGTTCTAGAGAATCAGATGGCCTCCTCTGGACTCCACAGGCACCAGGCACACATGTGGTACATAAACATACATGCAGGCAAAATGCTCATGTATATGTAACAAAAATAAATAAATCTTCAACTACATTAAAATTCATTTATGTAGAATGCCAACTCTCATTTTTCAGTAATACCAGATTAAGTATGGTATACTGTGTTATCTTCTCAGCAAGCTGAAAATAAAGTGGAAAACAGCAAAGATCTAAGAACATGAACTTTGACAAAAGTTAAAATAAATTCCCATGCCATACCAAAAAATGTAAAACATTATCTGAAAAATACGATACCAAGAAAGACCACAATGGATGATGAGAAAAGCATATAATGCAGACCAAAGAAAAGAGGTAAGGGGTCAATGTTAAATCCAAATACAAAGTGGCTGAAAACAGGCAGGATATCACAGTATTCCAGCCTGAACACTTGAACAGGCACCTATTATAATGTGTCCAGAAAGGTTTTCAGTATAACTTGGAAATAGCCAAGTAGGTTTTTTTCTTTTTAAAAATATTTTATTATTTTTATTTTATGTGTACAACTGTATTGCCTGCATGTAGATAGGTGTACCTGTGTTGTGCAATGCCTGCTGGATCAGAAAAGGGTGTTGGATCCCCTGGAACTGCAGTTATGGATAGTTGTTAATCGAACCCAGGTCTTCTGTAAGAGCAGTCAGCGTTCTTAACCACTGAGCCATCTGTCCAGCTCCCCCTTTCCTTCCTTTTTCTTTCTTTCCTTCCTCCCTCCCTCCCTCCCTCCCTTTTCTTAAAAAATATTTTGTTAGCTGGGCGTGGTGGCGCACGCCTGTAGTCCCAGCACTTGGGAGGCAGAGGCAGGCGGATCTCTGTGAGTTCAAGGCCAGCCTGGTCTACATAGTGAGTTCCAGGACAGCTGGGGCTACAGGGAGACCCTGTCTCAAAAAGACAAAAAAAAAAAGTAAAGCCTACACAAAACAGCCACATTCCAGTGCCTGTTTGTTTTCCTGTTCCTTTTCAGAATTCTTTCTATCCAGTGTCAAAGAGAAGGGCTGGCCACAGGTGAAAAGATATTTGGGTTCTGCTTGCCTGTCTTTGAGAAAGGGATTTTAGACCATCAGGGTTATTTTATTCCTTCAATCCTTAAAATTCTTTAATATCAGTCAATTTTTTAGAGTTTTAGGATGAAAAGATCACATATCAGCAAATAACTTTTAAGAAATTCGGAAAAAAAAAAAAAAACAGTGCAAAGATCATTTGAACTTGTTTTACTGCAAAAAACTTATTGTAACCTAGGCTATACTCTAATCTAGATTCAGGAAAATTCCAAAGTATGAGTAATATAGAGCAAACAATCATGCAAAAATAGAAAATAAATAAAACGGGAATGGGCAACCTTACCAATGAGGGTAATCCAAACCCCTAAAAATAAAAATTTGGGTATATAAGAAATAGAACTCGGGGCTAGAGAGATGGCTCAGTGGTTAAGAACACTGACTGTTCTTGCAGAAGACCTGAATTTAAATCCCAGCACCCACATGGAAGCTAACAACTGTCCATAACTCCAGTTCCAGGGGATCTGACAGCCTCTTCTGTCCTCTGCGAGCATCACACATCACGGGTGCACTTACCTACATGCAGACAATACACGCATACACATAAAACAAAAATAATAAATATTAAAAAAAAAGAAACAGAACTCACTTTGAAGGTGTAGATGGGCTTGTGACACAGGAATTCACCAGCTGAGAGGCTTTCAATGGTCTAGAACTATCAGGAAATTAGAAAATATGTAATGTACACAATTATATTATTAAAGATACTTAATTTATAGAGTGAATTATTCTATACTATAAGTTTCTTCAATTCTCTTGAAAAGCAAACACCTAAAAAATAACTAACCATAGAGGCCCAAAGAGAAAATAACTTACCATCTCTGGCTCTCCTTGATCTAATAACTGAAATAAAGAGCTTTACAAATTAAGTCAACTGTTAACACTTATGAAAATAACAGCTTTGTGGGGGGGATTACTTTATTCACTATGTAGCTCTAACTGCCCCTGGAACTGGCTATGTAGACCAGGTTAGCCCCAAACTCAGAGATCTGCTTGCCTCTGGTTCCCAAGTGCTGGGACTAAAGGGGCATGCCACCACACCTGGCCTCATCTTAGCTCTTTATTTTTAAGCAATAAGATGATAATATTTCTCAATTTAGTGAGGATTTATTAGACGTCAAGCACTGTACTGAGAATTTAAGGTATATTATCTCATTTAATATCCACAATCTTATTATTTTCCCCACAGACAAGTCAAATTTGCCAAGGTCTTAAAGCCATTAAAATGTAGTCAGACAGCTTCATTCCAGATCTGTGATCACAAAGATCCCGCACAGATGGGGTGCTACAGTACTGCTGCCAGAGGGACCAATAGCTCTACCAGCAGAGGGCAGTTTGCGGAAAGTAAAACATCCTCGGCAAATAAAAGAAATTCTAAGACTCTCTGGGCATGTGTTTTATTAGTAGAACCTTGAGGACTTTAGTGTAAACATATGATGTAACATAAATACAAAGAGAAATATATTTTATAAAATTGTGTCATTTAATTTTGGGACATGATCATTTAAATGTTCACTTAAATTTGGGAAATGTTCATATTCTTTTCTGAAATGTCTAACTCTAACCAAGAAACCTGGCCTTTTTCTCTTAGAATATCACTATGCTGTCTAGGGTGGCCTAACCAAATTGCCAAATAATGCAAACTTAAAATCTCTTTTTTGGTTTGATTTTTCTTTTGCTGAATGCCATGTTATCCAGTTTGGACAATCTTTGAAATATTAAAACCCATTTCAAAAGGAGGGGTAAAACCAATGTCTCTTACATTGCCATATGTGCATTCCACCCCAGAGTAAAAGGTGGTTTTGTATTTTCAGTGCAGTGAGATGACAGGGTCAGGTATCTTGGAATGATGACTTGCTGTCCAATCTTGTTGTTAAGTGAGAGTGCCACATTGAAGCTGTATCGCTTCAAATGAAGAATAAGGACCCTGAAAAACAGAAGAGGACTCCACTAATTCAAACACAACACAAAACCAAATAACCAAAACCAGAACAAAACAAAAAATACAAAAACTAGAATAAGTAGAGTGGGTTAGAATGAACAAAATCAGCAGTCTAATATTAGGATTTAAGATTCAGAGCCTTTTATTTCATATAAGTTTAGAACAGAGTATGCTTAATACAAGTCAATTCCTGGGGGAAAAGATCTCTCTCTTAGGAATTCTTCAGCATTTTCAGTTGCATAGTTAACGACAAATGGTAGAAATCAATCTCTTGCCTTTAAATTTCCTCTTTCCTCCTCTTGCCTCATAACACTAATAAGTACAAAAAAGTCAAGACCAACCAAACCAACCAACCAACCAACCACCCGCCCACCCACCAACTGGTCAATATAATACTGTTATGCACTTGTGAAGCAGAGGCTGGCGGATCTCCGTGAACTCAAGGCCAGCCTGGTCTACACAGTAAGTTCCAGGACAGGTGGGGCTACAGGGAGACCCTGTTTCAAAAAGACAAAAACAAAACAAAACAAAAACAACACTGTTATGAAGCTGGGCATGGTGGCACATGCATGCCTTTAACCCTAACACTTGGGAGGCAGAGGCAGGAGGATCTCTGTGAAAGCGAGTCCAACACAGTCTCCATAGCAAGTGCCAGGCCAGCTGGGGTTACAGGGAGACACTGTCTCAAAAAGACAGAAGGAAAAAAAAAAATATATTGCTATGATTATAAAGTGACTTCCTTGAAAGCCAGTCTACCATCTGTCATTTTCTAGAAAAGAATAGATTACAGAATGTAAAAGAATATTTCCCTAGGGTCTAGATTCCAGAAACTCAACATTTACAGGAAACTGAAGCTAATAAAAGATAGTAAAGTACCCTGCTGCAGGCAAAGTGCCACATAAATATTTAATGTTAATAACCTTGCTTGTGGCTGAGTGATCTATTCTTAGAAAGTACTAAAAGGGACCTTGTAGCCACATCATAATTTTTGTAACCAGCTTCACTTTGTATTCATATAGTGCTAGTATAATATAAATTAATTTCACATCCAAGGCAGAAAATTAACCTTGTGATTACAGGAAATCTACTAACTTAGATGATCCTTTGAAAAATGAGTATACGAAATGAAACAAATTGCTCATTTTCATGCACACATTTGTGACTGTAGCTGATTCTTACTGATGGTGTCGGATTAAATGGAGACAGACTATATAAGAAAACACAGGACAAGAATTACAAGCTTATCATTCCAAACACAAAAATTCAACATCTGAAATGATCCCAAATCGCAAACTTTTAGAGAACTGACATAGTACTGGTGAAAAATTCTGTACCTATTTTACATGATAAGTAGCAGGCAAAAGGCAGGGACATTAAAAATATTTCAGAAAATTTTCTTTAGATTATGTGCTTAAGATATATACAAAATGTAAATGAACTTTAGTGCTGAGACGTGGGTCTCCTCCTCAAGGATCTCATTACTTTATGTGCAAATATTCCAAAATTTAAGACACTACTCCTGGGCTCCATCATTCCAGTTAAGGGATCCTTAAGTCATGTAATTGTTAAAATATTACTGAATTAAAAATCTAGAGCTAGGGGGCAGCAGGATGACTCAGATAGTACAGGCACTTTCTACCACGCCTGAGGACCTGAGTTTGATTCCTGGGACCTATATAGTGGAAGGAGAGAACTGATTTCCTCAAGTTGTCCTCTGACCTCCACATGGATGCAGTGCTACACCTACAAGGACACCTACACGAACATGTACATGTACACACACACACACACACAATAAATACAATAAAAATTTCTTAAAAATCTGGAACTAGTCTCTCTAAAGTCTCACCAATTTTATCCTCTCATTGCTACCTTCCTGAGACTCTTTTTTTAAAAAATACTTTATTATTTTTATTTTATGTGTATGCGTGTATTGCCTGCATGCAATGCCCATGGCGGACAGAAGAGGCTGTCGGATTCTCTGGAACTGGAGTTATAGACAGTTGTTAGCTACCATGTGGGTACTGGGATTTGAACCCGCGTCTCCTGCAAGGACAACCAGTGTTCTTAACCACTGAGCCACCTCTACAGCCCGTGAGACTCTTTTATTTTTATTTATTTTTATCTTTTTGAGACAGGGTCTCCCTGTAGCCCCAGCTGTCCTGGAACTGGCTATGTAGACCAGGCTGGCCTTGAACTCACAGATCCACCTGCCTCTGCCTCCCAAGTGCTGGGATTAAAGGCATGCACCACCATGCCTGGCTTGAGACTCTTTTTAAAAAAAATACTTTATTGTTTTTATTTTATGTCTATGAGTAAGTGTACCCATGCAAGTAAGTGTATCCATGTTGTGCAATGCCTACGGAGGACAGAAGAGAGGGTCAGATCCCAGGAGTTACAGATGGTTGTTAGCCACCATATAGGTTCTGGGAACTGAATCTGGGCCCTTTGCAAGAGCAGTCAGTGCTCTTAATGGCTAAGTCATCTCTACAGATCCCCTTCCTGAGACTCTTAAGATTACTTTCCTCTGCAACATTCCAAACCTTGTTCCTTTCTTATGTAAGCTTTCCTGACCTTTACCAATCCACTCTGGTAAGTTTCACTCATGTTTGTTTTGAGAAAGGGTCTCCCTGTAGCCCCAGCTGGCCTGGAACTCGCTATGTAGACCAGGCTAGCCTCAAACTCACAGAAATCCACCTGCCTCTGCCTCCCAAGGGCTGGGGTTAAAGGCGTGGGCCACCATGCCCAGCTACATTCATGTTTGTTTGCTTCCTTATTGCATCCTAGAGACAAAATCCAGGGTTTTGTGCATGCTAGGTAAACACTGTATTCCTAAAACACATCCCCAGGGAAATATATATTTCTAAAAGGCAATGAAGCTGAGTGTGGTGGTGCATACCTTTTATCCCAGGACTGCGGAGGCAGAGGCAAGGATTTTTGTGAATTCAAGGTTCGTCTAGTCTACACAGAGAATTCCAGGTCAGCCAGGAGTACATAATGAGACCCTATCTCAAAAACAAAACAAAACAAAACAAAACACCCCAAAACAACCAAAAAAGACAATCGAATTTACCTGGGAAGTCTGTTAAATTTGTGTCTGACAAGAGCACACTTCCCACCACACTTTTCACAGGAATATTCAAGTTCTTCTGCCTATAAAAAGATAGAAGAGGGAAAAATAAGGATGAAGTTGAATTGGCACTAACCCACTAAATGCAAATAATCTTTAGTCTTACTAGCTCAGGGGAGTAACTCTGAACCAGCTTAAATGATGTGTGTTGAGCCACAAAAATTACCACATTGACCTAATCTTTAAAATATAGTAATCTTATGATAGCATGTCCTACTTTAGAATTCCTAATTCCTTCTTTACCAAGGAAATGTCTCAATTTATGATAGCAGCTAGACTCTAACAAAGCAGATCTCAAACTTTTCCCCATGGATACACACGAACCATTGCCAAGAGTATATCTGATTTTAACATTTGGCTACAGCAGAGTTAAGATCCCCTTCAGGTTAGGCAGAGTTCCTGGTCTGTTAGCTCTATCTACCCCTTTCTTTCAATGGAACTCAATCTTCTGGTGACAGCCCACTAAGAACAACTGCTCTAAAAGGATCAAACTTTGGGGTAGAAATCATTACCTAGAGAAAACTGAAACAAGAAATCCTTAAAATATGGGGAAAAAGATACATTGGAAAATCTTCAGTCTTCACTAATAACAGGTAGCAGAAATGACTAAAATAACAACAAAAGAGTCAGAGTATCTTTTTGTAGAGCTCAACAGTCATCACTTAACAGGTTTCCTTTTAAGCCTTAGGAAGATAGTCCTGCCAATTTGCTACAACAAAACAAGGATCATTACTATTACTACATAGATGAAGAGGAAGCTTAGCAAATTTCCACCAATTCTAGGGTCTGTGACACAATATGCCTGACCATGAAACTTTCTGAGTATCTGCAACAATTTATAACGCACACAAGCACTTATCTATAGTTCTGAATAAACATGATCCTTCCAGCGCACAAGCTACCTAAGGCAAATGAAACAGTACAATTTCTTCCCTCAGCTCTTGGGATGACAACTACTACAGCATCTCCAAGTTTAATTCATGTTATCAAATTTTAGCAAATATCATGTCAAATGCTTTAAATTCAGTTTCCAAATGAGAAACAGCTTATAAAATTTTCTATAACATCATTCAGTTACACACATTCTATTTAAGGAGTCATTTTTCATCTTAAAGAGCTTTAATCAAATTTATCAAGCTTTGTAAAATAAATTAGTTATAAATACTTTCATTTATTTTCCCTGCAATTTAGTCAAAACTCTGCCTTGAAAAAAATCAACTTCAAACACAATCATCCATAATATATAAATTAAGTTATATGAATACACCCTAAAGATATTACCCTAAAGAAAAGATCAAGAGAGTCTTGAATTGAACGAGGAGGGAGTGGCTTTTTCCTCCGAGGAAGGTCAATGGAGAGATCATTAAATTGTTCTCTTTTGGGAATAGTCTCTCCACACCTGTAAGGAATTAAAGAAGATTAGTACAAGTATTTAGAATATAAAAATGCAAATCTATTTGAAGCACTCTTCTCTACAGAACTTATGGTGCAAATACACTATCAACAGTGTAACAAGAAACGCAATGTTTATGATTTTCTTTCATACAGAAGAACATCTCTTTGCTACCAAGATGTCCTGTTTCTACCTCTAGATTTGGATTTAAAGAGCTGGTGTAATTTGCTCTGATCCATACAAATAATCTCCCCCTAAAAAACTTAATTTAAGTATAAGATTAGCAGGCTTGCTAGTCATGATGGCACTGGCCTTTAATCTCAGTATCAGGGAAGGAGAGGCCTGGTCTATACAACAGTTCTAGGCTCCATGGGGTTGTAGAGAGACTGTCTCAAAATTGTTTTTACTGAGTGCTCCCTCTCATAGGAAACATTCTAAAGTGATCTTTACCTTTGTATAATTCCATGACCTCTGAGTGTATGGATGTCATGATGATCATGAGCTCTCACTCCCATGAATGATGTTCCCACAAAATTTCTAATATAATTAAGACCTTTGGTCTTTGCCCAAGTTTTATCTACATAGCACATGGTAATTACAAGTACCAGACTGGTAGAACTAACCTTCTTGGATGTTTAACAGCCATACTTTGAGGCCTATACTAATTTGGTCAGAGGGACTTAAAGGATAGTTTTTGCTCCTTGTTCCCCAAGGTCAACTAAGTTCCAGGGGACTATAAGCATCTCTCAAAATGTCCTGTAACTGTCCTGAGTCACCTATCCTCTTAATCAAGGAGGCCATGGAGACCCCACCAGATGGACTTGAACCAGTGTCCAGTCTACAAAGAGGAGGGTCAACACAGAGGAAACATTTCCTCCATGCTTCCACGTGAAGCCAGCCATGGTCGAGCAGGACCTTTGACTTATCTTCACATGGATGGAACTCTCAAGCCCATGTGACCCCTGAAGAATGGATCCTCAAATGACCTTAAGAGTAAAAATAAATTTGGTTTATCTGGGCCAACTGTATGGTCTTAAACACCCAAAAGGAAAGTATAGCCAAAGATTAAAGGGCTCAATATAATTCTTTAAGAGTCCATGTATATACTAAAGGCTACCTAAACAAGAAATGATGCCAGACGGGAGATATCTTCCTTTGAGTTGTTGGCCAAGGTGGCCCAAGAGCCTCCCGGAAAGTAACCCAGAACAGAACTGGGAAAATAAACAGCAGACCCCAGTCTTATCTAAAGGAATATTGGCAACTGACTGCTGCTAGATGAGGAAGAGCTGATCTTCCTAAAACAAGGAACTCGAGATAGACTGACCAGACTCAGCAGATGGACAAGCACTTGGGAACAGCTGGGGGTGCCGACAACACAGTGGACAGTAACAGGGATGACAGAATATATGGGCTGGGGGACTATAGGAGGGTGCCATTTGGGATGTGGGTATATAGATGAATAAGATTGTTTGGGATGTTCTGTATGAAATACACAAAAAACCTCAAAAAAATGAGTTATATTTGAGGAAGAAGCATAAAAATTTGCTTCATGTTAAATAGTAGAGGTGAAAAAACATTACCATTGAAATCGTTTTTTGAGCTTTTAAAACTTCATACAATTATTTCCCACTCAAATCCAGAGCCCCCTCTCCATCCATGCCTCCCCTATCTACCCACCAAACCCTATTCACTCTGCCATACATACTGAGTCCTACTCATTCAGGTGTTTGTACCCAAGTGTACTTCAGTGTAAATGTGTCCACTTGAGTCTAGTCAGCCCATCCAGTGGTTGTATGTAAGTCATACTCTTCCCTCACCCATAAGTCTCAAATAATTCTCAATCTAGTGCTGGCCTGCCACCTATTTTTAACTTCCCCTTTGGGCCCTTGTTTCATTGAGCTGATATGGGTCATGCACTTGACGCCACCACTGCCACAGGCTCACAAGAGCAAGCCTCCATTGGCCTGGAGCTCTCCACCTCCAATCATGAACCAGCCCTGGCTCTTACAATCTCTCTGCCTCTTCTGCAATGGTCCCTGAGCTGTGGGTGGGTGAGGTTCCATATAGGAGTCCCATCCTACATTCTACAGTCTCTTATTCTCTAAAAGTTGGCCAGATGTGGCCTTTTTTTTGAGTCAAGGTCTTGCTATGTAACCCTGGCTGGTCTGGAACTCAGAGAGCCACCTGCCTCTGCCTCATAAGTGCTGGGATTAAAGGCATGGAGGACCACACCTAGCTTCAGTAAATATTTATTGAATGAAAAACATATTAAGAGTCAACTGTGACATTAAGCTAAAAATAACAACAAAAAGCAGTTAAATTTATCTTTTATGCAGGGCGTGGTGGTACATGCCCTCAATCCCGGCAGAGGCAGGTGGAGCTCTGTGAGTTCAATGCCAGCCCGTTCTATATAGTGAGTTTCAGACCAGCTGAGACTACAGGGAGACCCTATCTCAAAAAGACAAAAAAAATTTTTTTTAATTTTTTTTTTTCTTTTGGCCTTTTTGAGACAGGGTCTCCCTGTAGCTCCAGCTGTCCTAGAACTCACTATGTAGACCAGGCTGGCCTTGAACTCACAGAGATCCACCTGCCTATGCCTCCCGAGTGCTGGGATTAAAGGTGTGTGCCACCACACCCGGCTATTTTTTAAATTTTTATTTATTTTTATGTGTATGTGTGTATTGCCTGCACGTAGGTAAGTGCATCCATCATGAGACTGTCTCAAAAAGCAAACAAACACTGAAAAAAGAAGTTTGGTAAAATTTGTGAGACTGCATTTTCCTCATGAGAAAAAAAGGAAAATAAGAATTCATAGCATTTTGGGGGGTAGGTCACAAGAAAGTTTTAATCATCTGCTATTAAGAATTAAAGAAGGGCCGGGCGGGGTGGCGCACGCCTTTAATCCCAGCACTCTAGAGGCAGAGGCAGGTGGAGAGGAGGGGCAGTGAGGAGAGGCAGATCTCTGTGAGTTCAAGGCCAGCCTGGTCTACATAGTGAGTTCCAGGCCAGCTGGGGCTACTGGGAGACCCGGTCTCAAAAAAAGACCAAAAAAAAAAAAATAAAAAATAAAGAAGGAAAAAGGTTTGTTTAGAGACTACTTACGCTTTACAAATGATAGAGTGCTGAACCTCAAACTCTAAATTAGTAATAACAGGGCAAGTGTATACTTTAGTAATTGAACTATCTGGTGAATTTTCTTCTCCAGGAACAGGTTCTGTCTTCCAAGTTTTATTCAGTTTTTCCATATCCTCCTTCAGCTGGTCTAAGCACTGACTTAAAAATTCATGAGCATCCTAAGAAGATAATATTTGTCATTAGAACAAAAAATTTCTTGCCACAATAGCTTATTAAACTGTGACTATACAGTTAAAACCTTGGAAATCAAGATATATATGAACAGGTCAGGTTTACTGTGATAAGGACTTTGAGGTACTTCTATCTTTTGAATAAAAACAAATGGCAAATGTTTAGCTCAGAGGAAGAACACTTGCATAACACACATGAGTCCCTGGATTCAAGCCCCAGCACGAACATAAAAATCCAGAAGGAAAAACAAAACAAAAAAATACTTTCCCTAGACAAAACTAAACCCCTCAATATTAAGAAACCCTAACAAACCAAGAAAAACTATAAGCAAAACAAACAATAATATCTTTTAAAAATATTTTTATTTTATGTGCATGAGTGTATTGCCTGCATGTAAGTGAGTGCACCTGTGTCATGCAATACCTCAGAGGTCAGAATAGGGTTTCAGATTCCACTGGAACTGGAGTTAAGGATGGTTCGTAGCCACCATGTGGGTGCTGGGAATCGAACTTGGGTCCTCTGTAAGAGCAGTCAGTGCTCTTAACTGCTGAGCCATCTCTCCAGCCCCAACAATACCTATTTTTAAAGATTTATTTTATTTTTAATTGTGTGTGTGTGTGTGTGTGTGTGTATACATGAATGCAGGTGCTCGATGAAGACAGAGGTGTCAGATCTCCTGGAGTAGGAGTTACAAGCAGTTATGAACTCCTAACATGGGTACTGGGAATCAACCTTGGGTCTTCCGGAAGAGCAGCATATACTCTTAACTACTGAGACTTCTCTCTAGCTCCTAGAGTTTATATTCTTAGCTAGTCAGTTCTGCTAACATAAATTAATAAATGACTCTATCTTTTTTTTGGTCTTTTTGAGACAGGGTCTCCCTGTAGCCCCAGCTGTCCTGGAACTCATTATGTAGAACAGGCTGGCCTTGAACTCACAGAGATCTGCCTGCCTCTGCCTCCTGAGTGCTGGGATTAAAGGCGTGAGCCACCATGCCCAGCTATGACTCCATTTTTTAAGTTATTTTTTACTGGCAGCCTACGTTTAGAAATTAAAATTTGATAAAGCTAGACATGATGGTATAAACCTAAAATCTTTCCTCTTGAAAAATCTCAAGAAGCAGGAAAGTCCTGGTCAGCCTGGGCTATATAGCCAAGACCCTGTTTCCAAAAAAAAAAAGGAGGGCTGGGGAAGTAGCTCAGCCCCAGTATTGCACAAACCAGTTGTGGTAACACCTGCAATCCCAAGAGGTGAATGGAGGAAGGAGGATCAGAAATTCAAGGTATGTAAGATGTTCAAGGCCAGCCTGGGTTACAAGAGCTATTGTCTCAAAATAAAATGAGCCGGGTGTGGTGGCAAATGCCTTTAAGCCCAGCACTTGGGAGGTGGAGGCAGGTGGATCTTTGTGAGTTCAAGGCCAGCCTGGTCTACATAGTGAGTTCCAGGACAGCTGGGGCTACAAGGAGACCCTGTCTCAAAAAAGACAAAAAAAACCAAAACAAAACAAAACAAAATAAAATGCATAGAAGAACCATACTGAACCTTATCATAACTCCTTAGGTTCTATAATCTTATGGTGATCATACTATATAAATCATATAGAACATTTCAAACAAATTAATACTCACATTCTGCATATAGCCAGAGAATCTCTCTGCTGTAGCAGAAATGGCATTTTTAACTTTCTTAAGCAATTCTTTTTTGGTCTCTGAATTACAAATATCTTTTTTCATAAGGAGGTTTGCAAAGCGTCTAACAAAAAGACAAAATTAGCATTATTTTAAAAACATTCAATGGCATAATATTTTAAAGATTACTAACAACAGCACATAAAAATTTAGGTCCCCCAAATCCCATTATTCTAAATCAATGAGGTCAGTGAGCAAATATATATTACCTGATAAGTGCATTGAGTGGAATTTTCTTCCAAGGGATACCTTGTTTAAGTAAGTCATTTGCAAATGACTGGAGTGAAAACAGAGACTGTAAAATTGCATTCATATAGCATGTATTTCCCAAGTTGGAGAACCTGTAAAGGAAAAGTGCTTGAAGTATGATGAGCATGTATAAAGGATTTCTCTATTTTTTTATTGGGGGGGGGGTCTTTTTGAGACAGGGTCTCCCTGTCGTCCCAGCTGTCCTGGAACTCATTATGTAGACCAGGCTGGCATTGAACTCACAGAGATCTGCCTGCCTCTGCCTCCCAAGTGCTGGGATTAAAGGCGTGGGCCACCATGCCCAGCCTGGGTTTCTCTATTTTGCATCAGAACCACCTGGATGGCACGTTAAACTACATACCATTGAATTCCAGCCCCCATCTCTGATTCAGTAGGTATGGAAAATATGGGGCAGAGGGAAACATACATTTCTAACAATTTATCAGATGATGTTGATCCTGCTGATCTGAAGTGAAATACTTTCAGAACCACTACACTATAACCTTGCAACACAAATTTTAGTTAAGGAATTTTTCTATTATGTTATTACCATCCTTTACACTCACTTTATGCTCTCTGTATATTAATATTATGTAGGAAATATTTGCTTCCAACTAATCACTTGCCTTTTTTCATATGCCTGGTACTAGAGAACATCACTGCTTTATTTCTTCATGTAAAATTTAATATTTTTAAACCCCATCACCTCCAAAATTTAATTTTTATAGTCAAATTTATCAATCATTTTGTTGAATTTTGATTTGAACCAGATTTACAAAGCCTTTCCCTATGTAAACATTATAGGGAAATTTAGTCACAACTTCTAGTACTTTAAGAGCTTTCTTTCCTTTAAATATTTATTTATGTGTATCAGTGGTTTGTCTGCATGTATTTAAGTGCACCCATGCATACAATGCCCAAGGATGCCAGAAGAGGGAGTTGGATCCCTTGGAACTGGAGACATTGATGGCTGTTAGCCGCCTTGTGGGTGTTGGGAACCAAACCCAGGTCCCCCGAGCCACGTTTTCAGCCTCTTTCTTCCTTCTAAAAATATTTTTAAATTTTGTTTTTATACTAGGTCTCTGATCTAATTAGAATTTGTTTTTAGCTGAGTGTGGTAGCTCATGCTTTTTAATCCTAGCACTTGGAAGGCAGAGGCAGGTGGATCTCTGTGAAATCAAGTCCAGCCTGGTCCATATATAAGCAAGTTGCAGGTCAGCTGGGGTTACATGGAGACCCTGTCTCAAAAAAACTCAAAACAAAAACAACTAAACTACACATATACACACACAGAACTCATCAACAATAAGAATTTCTTATTGCATACAGTTAAAAAGCAAATGCGTCTTTTTTCAAAATGCCTATTTTAGTATATTTTAAATGTCCTTCTTTGTGTCAACAGTCAGGACTTTCTCTTCTACTGATCTATGCATTTTTTAGTACTGTTAAAGTCTGATTGAGACAGGGTCTCCCTATAGCCCCAGGTGGCCCTACTAGTACTTGCTAGGTAGGCCAGGCTGGCGTACATATATACAAATAAATGAAATAAATCTTTAAAAAAAAAGAAAAGAACAATCTAGGGTGGTGGTACATGCCTAGATTATTAGCACTTGGGAAGTAGAGGCAGGAGGATCAGGAGTCAAAGGTCATTCTTAAATATATGAAACCCTGTCTCACCCCAGACGTGGTGGCGCACGCCTTTAATCCCAGCACTCGGAAGTCAGAGGCAGGCAGATCTCTGTGAATTCAAGGCCAGCCTAGAACAGCTGGGGCTACAGGGAGACCCTGTCTCAAAAAAGACAAAAAAAAAACCCCAAACAAAAAAAAACCCAAAACAAAACATATATATATATATATATATATGAAACCCTGTCTCATAAAAAAGTATTAAAACATCTAGTTTTAAAAATATTTATTATTTTATGTATATGAGTGTATTGCCTGCATGTATGTAAATGCACCCATGATGTGCAATGCCCAAGGAGGTCAGAAGAGAGCATTGGATCCCCTGGAACTGGAGTTACAGACAGTTGTTAGTCACCATGTGGGTGCTGGCAACTGAATACAGGTCCTCTGCAAGATGAGCCAGTGCTCTTAACCTCTGAGCCACTTCTCCAGCCCCTAAAACATATCTAAACAAAACATGCATTTAAACCTGAATTATAGTTGAGGAAAAGGGAAAACTTATTTTCATTAACATGGTTAAAAGTTTTATATTAAGCTGAGTGTAGTGGTGCAAGTCTTTAATGCCAGAATTCTGGAGGCAGTGGCAGAGGGATCTCAGAGTTTGAGGCCAGTCTGGTCTACATAGCAAGTTCCAGGCCAGCTGGGACTACAGGAAGACCCTGTCTCAAAAAGACCAAAAAGAAAAAGTAACAACAACAAAGAAAGAAAAAACTGCATTAAAATAGATGAAGCTAAGGATAACTCAGGGGTAAGCACTTGCCTAGCATGCATTAGACTTTGGTTTTAGTCCCCAGCATCATGAAAACAAAATAAAACAAAAATATTAAGTCCATGATTAATGGACAATGAAAAAATCAGAGAACAGAGATGTAATGTAACAGAGAGGTTAAGAATGCACCTGGAATCATGGGCCTGGGCATATGGCTCAGTTGATAAATGATTGCAAAGCAAGCAGAGGACATGAGTTTGGATCCTAAGTAGTCACATAAAAGCTAGTCATGGCACTGTGTATCTGTAGTCCTAGTGCTGGAGATGCAGAGACAGGCAGATCCTTGGAGCTTGTTGACCAGCTGGTCTAGTCAAACAGGTGAGCTCCAGGTTTAGTGAGAGACCCTGTCTCACAACCATCTGTAACTATACTTCCAGGGAATCAGACGCCCTCTTTTGGCCTCTGTGGGCACTGCACAATACCGGTACACTTACATGCAGTTTGCAAAACACTCATACACATAAAATTTTTTAAAGAGTTCAAAACAGGGCTGGAGAGATGGCTCAGCAGTTAAGAGCACTGACTGCTCTTGCAGAGGACCCGGGTTTGATTCCCAGCACCCACATGGTGGCTACGAACCGTCCTTAACTCCAGTTCCAGGGGAATCTGACACCCTCTTCTCACCTCTGCAGCACTGCACGACATGGGTGCACTCACATACATGCAGGCAATACACTCATACACATTAAAAAAAAAAAAGTTCAAAACAAATAAGGTGAAGAGAGACTGAAGAAGACAATATCACTCTCTAGCCTCCACATGCACATGCACCCACATGAAAACACAGACACACAAATCCAACTGGAGTACTATTGCTTAAATTTACCACTGCTGTCCTACTAATATCATTTTGAGTATGTTAATTAACTTCATTAAGCCCTGCAGAGTTAAACTTCAATAAACTCTTAAGGAGTTCCTACCGGTTGTTTAAAGAAAAAAAAAACGCACTTAAACATTTAGCACATAGTATTCTACAATCTCATCTTTGTATTGGAGAATATATAAAAAATGTTGAAAATACCTAGATAATTGGCTGAAACATACTGCTCAGTTGGAGATTACTTATTTTCTTTTCTTTTTTTTTTTTCTGTCTTTTTGAGACAGGGTCTCCCCGTAGCCCCAGCTGTCCTGGAACTATGTAGACCAGGCTGGCCTTGAAGTCACAGAGAATCCGCCTGCCTCTGCCTCCCAAGTGTTGGGATTAAAGGCATGCACCACCACACCCGGCTTACGTATTTTCTTTTAAAAAAAAAAATTATTTATTTTTATTTGATGTGTATGAGGATACTGCCTGCACGTATGTAAGAGCACCCATGTTATGTAGTACCATGGAGGTCAGAAGAGGGCATCAGATCCCCTAGAACTGGAGTTACAGATGGTTGTTAGTGGCCATGTGGGTGCCTGCATTTGAACCCAGGTCTTCTGCAAGAGCAGCCAGTGCTCTTAACCAATCAGTGATCTCTCCAGACCCTCATTTTCTCCTTTAAAATGCTATCAGACAGACAGATGTACACACACATTTCAAGGTTCAAAAACTTTTTGGAGACCAGATAATGGATTTCGTATTTATAGATGTAATGAATCTTTAATAACTGATTGAATTTCTAAGTATTTTAAAACCAAAAAAATTAATACAAATCCTTTCATTATTATAATATTTTTTACAACAAATGGAGCATAACTCAGTTAAATCACTTTACAAGAAAGAAAAAAAAAGGAGGAATTAAAAAAAGAAAGAGAATTTACCAACCCCTGCAATTGCTGCTGTTGGTGAGAAGAAAGGGGCATCCTTGGTTTGTTCCAGCCTGTGTAATCCTGGTTACATCTCAGTTTTTTAACGGACAGAGGAGCTGGCTGAGGAAGAAATCCCAAACTTCTTTTGGCAGAAGGAGTCTGGCTTGAAACATTACTCCTATAAAATGAATAAATAAGGAAGCAAAACAAAATTTTCAATACTTTTTCTCTCTAGTAGATTCAGAGACATCAATATCTAAAGGAAAAAAGTCTCAAACGGGAAATATTGCTCCCTTGGGAGGAAAACTTGTAAGACAGATTACTAAGTCTTTATAGAAAACTTAAAGAGGTTCACATGTTTAACCTCTAATCTAAAAAAATCCAACTTAATAGCTTGAGAAAAGCTATATAGTTTAACTTTTTAATTTACTTTTATAAACAATGATATCACATTAGTTTACTTAGTTTTGGTCAAATTCAGGCAGTAGATTTTTATTACCACTGCAAATAATATTTAATTTTTAAAAGAATGTCCTCAAATGTTTATTGCTTGGAGCAGAAAAGTTAGTGGGTATTTTAAATTTTGCTAGATAGTGTAACTGTTTTCCAAAAAGGTTAAATCAATTTTTAGTCCCTTGAATGTTGAATTTCCATTACTTATCATTACAACCCTGTTTATCAGTATGGGATCACTTGATCTCACTGTTATTTTAATTTGCATTCCTGATTATACTTGAAGCAGAACATCGTTTTATATAGTCTCTAAATTGCTTTTCTACATTCTTATAATTTTTTTCTTTTATCATAAATTTGATTTTTCAGTATTTTATGATTTCTTATTTTATGCATATCTGAAAGGCCACTAAGGATCTGAAAGCTGTCACTTTAAAGGAGGAATGTATGCCATTCTGGTGGTACAATGGTGGAGTCAGTAGATGTGCAAGGCCAAACAACGGGGCTAGATAAAGTTGCTGGCCCAAAGGGCATTGAATCTTTGCTGCACATGCACATACACATGCTTAAATATGCAGTTAGGCCAGCGAGACCACTCAGTATGAAAAGGCACTTGCTGCTGAGCCTGAGGAGCTCACACATAAGGGGAAGGAGAGAATCGATTCCTGCAAGATGTCTGATGTTCACATATGTATTATGCCACAAATGCTTGCTCCCTCCCCCAAATAAATGTTAAAAATGTTAAAAAAAAAAAAAAGCCAAGAGTAATGCTGAACTTATGTGTCACTGAACATATTGAGGTAAACAGAAGTACCCAATACACACCACCAAACATAACAGAGCTCAGGGCTGGATTAATCCATATGTGAGCTTCCCCTGCTATGCTGAGATGTTCCTCACTGAAAAGGAACAAACTTCCTCAGTCAGAAGAGTAAGTTACACAGAAATAAAAATGTATGGCATGAGGGTAATTGAGCATAAAAAAAATGCAAATAAAAGTTTAAAAAGAGAGTCGGGCATGGTGGCGCATTCCTTTAGTCACAGCACTGGGAGGCAGAGGCAGGTGGATCTCTGTGAGTTCAAAGGCCAGCCTGGTCTACCTATTGAGTTCCAGGACAGCTGGGGCTACAAGGAGACCCTGTCTCAAAAAGACCAATAATAATAATAATAATAATAAATGTAATTTAAAAAATAATAAAATAATAATAATAAATGTAATTTTATTTTTTGGTCTTTTTGAGACAGGGTCTCCCTGTAGCCCCAGCTGTCCTGGAACTCACTATGTAGACCAGGCTGGACTTGAACTCACAGAGATCCACCTGCCTCTGTCTCCTGAGTGCTGGGATTAAAGGTGTGTGCCACCACACCCAGCTTACATTTATTATTTTATTGTGCCTGTGTATGTCTGTGTGTGATCATGTACACTTGCACATGCCATGATATACGTGTGGAGGTCAGAGGACAGCCTGTAGGAATCAATTCTCTCTTTGCAACATGTGGATTCCCAAGGATAGGACTCAAACAGGCTTGGGAGCAAATGCATTTACCTGCTATCTCACTGGCCCTTATCAATTTTCTTAACAGGTTTAAAGCTTTGTTTTCCACCAGGCACAAAACATTCATGCCAGCTGCTTTGGAGGCAGAAGCAGCAGATCTTGGGAGTTTGAGGCCAGCTATCTACACTGCAAGTTCCTGGACAGCCAGGGCTACATAACTGAGATCCTATCTCAAAAAAAAAAAAAAAAGCTTTCTTCTCTATTTACATCTTTGAGCCCATTTATGTCACTGATATTTTAAGACAAGTAGCTGGGCATGGAAGCAGATGCCTTTAATCTCAGCACTCAAGGGACAGAGAGGGGCAGGTGGATCTGTGAGTTCCAGGCCAGCCAGGGCTACATAGTAAGATCTGTCTCAAAAGAACCAAAAGTGTCTTATTTACTTTTCTATAAGGAAAATCAATTGAGTCCCAAAATATTTATTGCTTGTTTGGGCTCTAAGTCAGAAGGATCAAAAACTTAAGGTCAGGGAGGGCAACAGTAAGAGGAACCAGAATACTCAAAAGGAAAAACTCTCCCAAGAACTCCTTACTAACCATTTCTCAATCCTAAAAGTTGCCATGAGCTATCAGCTTCACCCTTTACTACAGTTCCCTAAGTATATGGTTTAGGCAGTTCATGATGCACGTGCATACACACACCTCATCCTTTTGGGTTCAGCTTTTCTACATCTTTATATTGTAGCTGGGTCTTTCACATGGCACATAGATAATCTTCATTTAAATAAAAAATAATTTTGCTTAATCGGAATATTTATTGTATTTATATAAATTAGTATGCTGTAAAATTAAATTTAGACTGGGCATGGTGGTGCAGTCTTTAAACCCAGCAGAGGCAGGTGTATCTCTGAGAGATCCCAGCCTGGTCTATATAGCAAGTTCCAGGTCAGCTGGGGCTACAGGGAAATCCTGTCTCAAAAAGTCCTAAAAATAAACAAATAAATTTAGTATATTATTTGGGACCAGTGAGATGGCTCAGTGGATAAAGGTGCTTGCTAACAAGCCTACTGATCTGCATTCCATCTCCAGGACCTACAAAGAAGGAGAAAATCAACTCCTGTAAGTTCTTTGTCCTACACATAACCTGCCCCTCAATAAATAAAATATATTTTTAAAAAATTTAATAAGCCAGATGTGGGGGTGTATGCCTTTAAATCAAGTACTCAGGAAGCAGAGGCAGGTGGATCTCTAGGAGACTGAAGCTAGCCTGGTGTACTATAGCAAGTTCCAGGCTAAGAAGACTCGATCTCAAAAACGAAACAAAACAGGGGCTGGAGAGTCAGCGGTTAAGAACACTGGTTGTTCTTGCAGAAGACCTGGGTTTGAATCCCAGCACCCACATGGCAGCTAACAACTGTTTGTACTCCAGTCCCCGGGGTT